GCTGTTCAAATGCTGAAAGCATTGCATGGTCTTGCATACTGCGCTATAGGGGATAAGTGTGTGTCCTTCTGGTGTTGTAATATCAGTCTTTCAGCTGTCAGAAAGGCACCATGAAGTAGGTAGCTAATTTAAAATAACACATGCATCAGGAAATATTCAGGAGGTTTCCAATACAAAATTTATCCATATAATGACCTCCACCCCAAAAAAGGACAACTATGGGGAAATGCCCTTCCCCCTTCACACACACACACACACACACACACACACACACACACACACACAGAGAGAGAGAGAGAGAGAGAGAGAGAGAGAGAGAGAGAGAGAGAGAGCAATAAAAGAAAGTATTAAATATTTTTCTTGCACTTAGGAAGAATGCATAGAGGAATGATGAGCAACCATGAATGTGCTGAGGGCAATCTGTGAGGTTCTGCAAATTGTTGATGGGTATGGCTGGAGCCATCTGTGGGCAGCACCTGAACCAGAAGTGGATGACCCATCCCTTTCTCTTCCTTGCTCAGCCACCCCTTCTTCTCAGTCTCGCTATGTGTTCCTGCCAGGCATCAAATGAAGGATGCATTAAATTAGTGTGAGGGCTGCAGCTTGCTCACTCTTGACTGGAACTGAGGCTGACATTTGGCAGGTGCTGCCCAGGACAGAACACAATGGTGGCGAGCAAAAGCACCCAGCAGAGCCATCCTGCGTGGTAAGCCGAGAACACAAGGGCGTTGGCCTCAGAGGACTCAGGTTTCATTGAAACCTGTGTGCTGTGTCCCCTTGTTTGAAAGTGGAGACGAGGAGGCTGTGTGCAGCTCCTTCTCCAGCTGCATTCCTGAACTGGCAGAACCCCAGAACTTCCATTCCCCTGAGACTGTATCCCCAGAGTGACCCCTTTAAAATCGCTCGTTGAGTCATGTCTTTCCTTCTTCCCATACTAGTCACAATGAGATGCACTTTGTTTTGTGGCTATGAAGCTCAAAGTCTCTTTTTCAGGTGACTAAGTGAACTTTAAGTCTACCTTTGCACTCATCCTTGTATTTGTGCTCTTCCCTGCCTTTTTTTTTTTTTTTTTTGGCCCTCTTACAAGGATCCAAAGTGACTTACAAGTTTCTCCTTCTCTCTGTCTTATCCAAGCTGGAAAGAGAGACAGTTCAAAGCCTCTGAGGCCCAGAGAGCTGCATATCATTCCTTGGAATGGCATGATATCATGCTTCAGCTGAGCAGAAACATGCATGGAGTGATGTAGAGGAGCTGGGCTCACAGGGGTGTTGTGCAGTTACTTCGTTGTTATCAGAGACAGTGACATCACATGCTGCTCTTCTCAGAACTTCCTGATCCCTCTTAGTCTAGCTGTAGCCCTCCTCTAACCTGGGAGGAAATGGATCTTCCCCAAACAGTATCTTGTTGCCTGTCGTAATGCAAAGCATTTTGGGCATATTTGGGTCTAGAATGGGCAACTAAGACACCTTCTTTTTATGAAGAGTCTAACTGCTGATGGAGAGGGAAATGGTTGGAAATGGTTTGTTGTGGTCGATCAATGTCACTGCCTAAACTTATGGAATTTCCTTTGGGGTCTGGCTATGGGGACTGTGGTGACCAGCACCTAAACCCAGGTGGTATATGGCAGCATTCTGAGACTTGTGCCACACCTGCTGAAGTGAGGGCACCCCTCTTTAACATGCATATATTTATGGTTTCAAAATGAGTCAGTGGAATGCTAGCTGAAAAAAATCAGTCCACTGAAACTGGCCACAGGCCACTGAAAAGAAAAAGGTGGATGACTGGAAAGCAGCAAATGGATAATACAATCTTCTCCAACCGGGTACCCTTCAAATATGTTGGGCTGCAATGCATCTGGAAGGCACCAATGTAAGGTTGGCTGGGTGAGTGACTATTTCAAGCCTTCTGATGCTCTGCTTGGGACATCCATCATCAGCAGAAGGGTAGTTTGAAGTCCTGGAGATGAAAATGTGGATCGAAAAGCCTTCCCTTGCATATCTGGAAATTATAACAGGTATATATAGTTTTGCTTCTTCTCAATCTCTCTTTCATTCCATTCTTCCACTGAAATGTATATATCTTGCTCAACTGAATGCAACTGTTTCATTTCAAACAGGTAGCCAGGCCCGGGGAGTTGGAGAAGAAAAAGGCTATTGTCCCTGGATGGCACAGGTGTGCGTGCTTGTGCTCAGCCACCAAGAAAGTCCTCTTCCCTTCCAAATGGTCAGAAGGGATTCATTATCTCTGGCTTCTTTGGGGAGGCGTGACGAAAAGGTGGGATAGGGAGGGTGGCAGACGTTGGTTGCCCATCGAATGGAATTGCCTTTGTTGTCTTTTCACCAGATGGGATTCGTTGAATCTAAAGCATTTAAGAAAAGGGAGCACCTTGATTAATGGATCTTGCAAGAAAAGCTCCCAGCTAATTATGTGGCTGAAGAATTACAGAATCATAGAAGAGTTGGAAGAGGCCATGAAGGCATCGAGTCCAGCCCCATGCTGGTGCAGGTCACCAATTTACACCATCCCACTCAGGTGGCTGCCCAGTTTCTTTCTGAATGTCTCCAGTGTGGGAGGGCCCACCACCTCTCTAGGCAGCTGGTTCCACAGTCACATTGCTCTGACAATGAGGAAGCTCTTCCTGATGTCCAGCCTGAATCTGGGTTGTCGCAACTTGAACTGTTTATTCCATGTCCTACACTCTGGCATCAGCAAGGAGAGACCCCAGTCTTGCAAGCAACCAAAGGAAAATATCTTTGCTGTGGAGAGAGATTGTGATTGTATTTAGTTCATGTTAATTAAAAAACACAACAACAGCTTTGTCATTATTTCAGACTTTTCTGTGAGTTAAGACAGGGATGCACAAAGTTTTTGGCCCTGAGGGCCATGCATGGTCTCATGGCAGGACTGTGACTGCACTTCCAAGCACACACATAACTGTGCATACACAGAATCTGCCCACACACACTTTACCTCTGAGTTTCTGGAAGATGCTTTGAGAAGCAGGCCCTCTGCAGGCCCTGGTCTCTAGCAGGCCGCCCAAAAGACGATTTCTCAAGGATCCTCAGCAGCAGCACCTGCAACTGAGATTGTAACTTTGGCAGTGGGGCTGTCAGAGACACAAATAGCATCCTGGGGGCAAAGGGTTGGGCACTGCAATGATCACATTTAGAGACTGGAGAGCTGCCGACGTCTGTGGTCTGACTCCCATCATTCGGACATGAAACTGTGATGGAGAAATCCCTTTCCACCTAAGGCCTGGCATTAAACATTTCGGGTTGCAACACCCTGCAGGAGGACAACGTAGGAGTAGGCTGTCTATTTCTGTCGAGTGGACTGGTGGCCTGATCTTGAGCCTCTTTTGTTTTGCGTTCCCTGCCCTCCATATGGGCACACAATTATGCCTTTCTCATCACTGCTGCAGAATCTGCATCAGCCCAGATATTTTGGTGCCACATTTCTACCCTTCAAAGAGATCAGTCTGCTCCCCGTTTGGGCTGTGCAAGAACTCTGCGAGGCACGTTTGGTGAAGGGATAACTAGTGGCCCAAAGGCACCCAAATGTACTGCCTGGAGGAGTGGAGATACCTCTGCAGAGAGAAATGGGTACTTTACAGGCTGCAGTGGCTTTAAAGGACCGAATTCCACCTTGCATGCTAGTTTATCCAGGAGTTTGTATTTCTCTTTGAAGCTGAAGCAGCAAATGCCTTTATATATTAAGTCTGTGGCCGTCTCCCACAACCCGGGTGTATGTCAACAGTGCCTCATTACTCCAAGGGTAACCCCCCTAACCTCTGCTATCAGGTAACATAAGTAAAACCATAAAGAATGCAAAGCATTGGAATCCAATTACCCTGTGCAAAGAGATTACAGCTAAAACAGCTTGCAAAAACACACTGTTGAACCTGGAGAGAAAATGCATCGCCAAAAGCAGTTCCACGTACAGCAGGATTACCTACATCTGCCGTCCCAAGCGTGGGGCCCGCCAAATGTGCTGGACTATGACTCTGCTAGCCTGACGGCCAAAACAGTGGCCACTGGGCCTGGAAATCTGCCTTCCAGAGAGGAGGACCATGCATTGTTAACTTCTGCTTCCATCGTACGGCTCCTGCTCTTAACCCACCCATCAAACAGCTTGAACCTGGAGAGGAAAGGCACATTGGAGCACAGTGAAGATCCTGCCACAGTAGTCCATCTGTTTTAAAGCATCGTGCCCATCTTCATCCCCACTTGTAAGAGTCCCTTTCTCTTCAAAGAATGACACAGTTTGGATGGCCAAGGAATCCCCATTCACTGAGCCCAGGGGAATCCCTCAGGGGGTTCTGCCATAGCCTAGTGCTCCAAGCTTCCCATTAGAAGGAAGAGGGAACAAATCTCCTCCCAGAATCCTTTGGAACTGTTCTTTGATGGGCCACTGGAGCATTCTTCCTTGGCTTGAATGGGCACAGCTCAGAGGCAGAACCTTCCCTCTGCACACAGAAGGCCCCATGTGCCACCCCCAGCATTTCCAGGTTTGTTGTTGCTAGTTGCGAAGTCATGTCTGACCCATCACGACCCCACAGACCACATTCCTCCAGGTCTCCCTGTCCTCCACCATCCCCCAGAGTCCACCCAAGTTCACACCCACTGCCCCAGTGACTCCATCCAGCCACCTCACTCTCTGCCATCCCCTTCTTCTTTTGCTGTCCCAGCATCAGGGTCTTCTCCAGGGAGTCCTTCCTTCTCTTTAGGTGGCCAAATTATTTGAGTTTCATCTTCAGGATCTGGCCTTCTAAAGCGCAGTCAGGGCCTGGGCAAATGTCTGCTGGAAACCCTGGATAGCTGCTGCCAGTCAGTGTTGACAATACTGGGCCACCTGGAACAATGATGTGTCTCAGTTGAAGCCAGTTTCATATGCCTTTTATAAATACACTATTTGATCTGTCTACAAATGTCTTATTCCGATGCATTTGATATGCCAAACACATGAGCTCCTTGGGATTGCATCTCTATTTTCTTCCCTAGGATGTCCACAGGGAGTCAAGAAAGGGAGCCCTCTGATTACACTTTCCAGCCCAATTCAAACACTCAAACCTTGTGTGATGGAGCTATGCAAATTTTATCAGCAGTGCTTTTGTACAAGGGACAGAAGGTACTCGAGAGAAAAACCTGCAAGGTAAAGGATTAAATATGACTCACTTGGCTTGTTTGTGTTAGTTCAGGAATCTAAATATGAAGAAGGCAGGAAAAAAGTTCATATTCTCTTGAGTTCATGTTGGAAAACATCAGCAATTTTTTTCAACACTGGGAGTTATGATTTCTATCAAATATAGAAGTTGGAGAGGGGAGGGAAAATACAGAATGTCAACAATTGAATCTGGCAAGTTGGTATTTATTGCTATGGCCTTAACTATTTGAAAAGCTAGAAAAGGACCTTTTTATTTGAGAAAATGGGTATGAAGAAGACTCAGTGTAAGTTAGTGCAAAACTTTGCAGATTGTAGGGGGGAAAGTCCTCACTTGATACACATTTATTTATTGAATTAATTTTATACTGCCCAACAGCCAAAGTGCTCTGGGTGCTTCACAACAGCACTTTAAAAATTCAATCTCAAATAGACCATATTAAACCTATGAGTACATCATAAGAATTTACAAGACAATATTTAAAACCAAATTTAAAAGTTTACACACGTCTGTGCGCGCGCACATGCACACACACACACACACACACACACACACACACACCCTGATGATGGGTCCTATACTTGGAGCACCACCCAGTAGTTTTGGTTGTCCCATCACAAAAAGGGTATTTTAGAGCTGGAAGGGACTCAGGGAAGGACAGTGAAAATGTCCAGAGGACTTTTTAATTTAGAAGAAAAGGGACAAAAGGAAAATGAGGTAGAGAGCTACAAAATGATGCATGCTACATACAGAGGCCATAGGGAAGTTGTAGTCTGGGCTTGCATTTTTCTTCTTCTTCTTTGCCTTCTCCCTTAATACTAGCGCCATATTGAATTGTAAGAGATTCAAGTCAGATCAAAGGAAGTGCTCCTTTGAAGCACATACAGCTGAAGTGAGGAATGCACTTTTGTGATCCACAAGGATGGCCTCCCATTTGGAAGCCTTTCAAAGCAGGCTGGACAATTTCATGGAGAAGGATATCCATGGCTACTAGTCCTGATGGCTTCTGGCTTCTCCCTTGGATTGGAGGCACTTTGTCTCTGCCTACTGTGAAATTTGGGTGAAGAGGTCTGTGCTTTTACTTGTAGGCATCTGACCACCGTGGAAAGCCTGCTGTCCCCACTGTTTCTGATGCTGTACCACTGACACCCTTTGGGTTGATCCGGCATGTATTGTCCACCAATGCATACATATTTTTGTATTCTGGTTAAAATGTTTAGGTACTGTATGGAAAACTATTCCTGGTTCTTGAAAAATGCAACATATATCTGTGAGAAAGTCCAAAGAACAGCCTATTCTAAAAGTAAGTTGATTTCCCACATAGTGTGGACTTTCTTGAATCCTTTTTTTGTTTTTAGTAGGTCTACTGTAAACATGAGTCAGTCAAGATGCAACCCAAGCTTTCCTCTAATATAATGGAGCAAAGTCTCTTCTGGCCGGCAGGATTGAACAGATCTAGTTTCTGACTGTGCAAGACCTCAAATATGAACTGGTCAAGAATATTGCTAGGGACGTAACGATCTGAGACCCTGCCCTGTAGCTCCATGGCTGGGTGCTTTGCAGGGAAAAGATCTCAGGTTGGAGCCTTGGCATCTTCAGGCAGAGCTGGAAACTCCTACCTGGAAACACGGAGAGCTGTTGCCAGCCAGTGGAAACAAGACTGGCTGAAATGTACTCCAGATCCGACTTAGTATAAGACAAATTTCTTTGTGCCTCTGTCTGCACACTTTTTAAATGACTAACACGTGTATTTCACGGAAAGCAAGCTGATCATTTTCCCACCCAATCATGTATGGATTGTATATTTATTAAGATGTATGTATAAGCTGCCTTGTAGTCAAAAAGCTTTCCAAGGTGAAATATGAGATTTAAAAGAACACAAAAATTATGATTAAAAACAACCAGGAAATGATTATGAAAGCAAGGGCTTTTCCCATAAACATATACCCTGACCCAGAGTGCCCAAATTAGTTCAAGTAATTTAGCCGCTCTCATCAGTTTATTTTTTGCCCAGATGATACAGATTCTGCTCCCAATACAATCCCTCTGCACTTATTGCTATTAATTATTAATATTATTTTACCATTATGTGTTATTATATTTATACGCAAGGAACCTCAGGCAGCTTTCATGGTCCTTCTCTTTATTCTATCCTCACAGCAACCCTGTGAGATAGCTTAGGCTGAGAATCAGTGAATGACCGTGAGCTTCAGGGCTCAGTGGGACTAGAACCCAGATCTCCTGAGTCCCAGTCCAACACTCTAACCCCGCATTGACCATCTGCTCGTTACTCCCCTCGATATGATTCTGTACAAAGGAAAAAGAAATGGCCGTACCAGTTTACACTTCAGTGTATATCCAATTATTTTCAGCTGCGTTCTTGACTTTGCTTAAGCACTGAGAGAGATAACTGGCCAATTTTGCTCCAGAGAACCAGGGCTCTTGCCACCCCTAAGCTTCCTCTAAATAGTAACCTTTCCACTGCTAGTACCAACGGGAAAATCTTGAATTGGGCATCAGGTTTACTATGACTTTTAAGGAGACCTGACTGTTATCCCAGATAAAACTGGAACCTTCCCTTTTTCTTGAACCACTGCATTCATTCATTCATTCATTTGGAGTTTTTGTATGCCGTCCCATTCGCATGAGCCTCGGGACGGCTTCCAATACAATAAATAAACAAAGCATATAAATAGTACATATAAAATCCAGATTCACCCTGGCTGTTAAGCAGTGAACTTGGCACCCACAATTTGTGTCTTTTATAGGCTTCCTTCTTAGCAAACTTCCTTCCTGCATCCAGGGATAGGCAAACAAGCAATGTCCACGTTTGCCCAGATTCTCCAGGTATAGCGGGATGCTAGTTCCTCCTTCAATTTCCACGGGGACTTGCATGAATGGGAACATTCAGACAAATTTAAGATAAGTCTTTTTCACAGTTGTGCAACTTCTCCTCACAGATTAAAGCACAGAATGCTTTCACAATGCTACCCTTTGATTTGTGAACCGTCAAATAGCTTTTTCTTCTGAAATTGAAACAGGTTTCAAATGCAAACACAACTCTGGATATTTGTGAACATTTTTGGAGAACATAGTCCTGCTTGTACTTCCCTTCAAGGCTGTGATGGCAAACTCAGAGTGATCTGTCCCGGCAAACTCAATTCCCATACATTGCTACATTTCTTGGCATGTTTCCCTGAAGTGACTCCCATTCTGTTCAATGTATCCAGAGGTAACTGTGTATAGGACTTAACCTTCCTAGCTCATTCCTGCACCTCCAAGCTTAAAGAAGGGGACAGTTACCACTTGGCTCAATGGATCATCTTCCTACCATCCATTTCCCAAGTTTGCAACCAAACCCTAGAAAGAAGGAAGAAGGAATAGGGCATGGATGACCTTCAGAAAGGAACCACCACCAAGCCCATTCAGTCCCTCCATTTCCCAGGTGGCTGGTTATGATGTCTCTTGCCTCAAGTCTTTGGAGTATTACTCTTTGTCCGTGCTCAGTGGACTCAGCAGGGGGAGGAGCTGAAGCCACAGAGGATAGTGGGTAGAACCAGGGAAGGCGAGGTGTGTGGGAGAGATGGTGAGGACTAGCCCTCTGCTTAGGCAGAGCAGGCTGCATGCCTCAGGCATCAGATTCTGGGAGATGACGGCAAGGTGTCAACGGAGAGAGCCTGCATGTTGGACAACCAGCTTGCATTCCCCAGCTAGGCTGCTGCAGGGCACGCTGCTGCTCCATCACTAGTAGGAAAGATTCAGCTGCTTGGTTTGTCTACCCAGAATGACAAAGGGCACCGTCTTGTGCTTTACCTCTGGCAGAAAAATGTCTTCGACTGGCCCTGGTGACAAGAATGTTAATTTTGGAAGTATAAATGGGCACTGTGCCTTACTTAATCATCTCCATATATGCAAACCAGATCATTTTTTGTTCTCTTTGTTTTTTCCAGCTTTAAAGCAGAAATGCCTTGCAATGATTTGTAAATCTATTTAAATCCCCAAGAGGAATCACTGCCAGCAAGAACCCCTGCACAAATTCTTCAGCTTTGTTCCATTGTCCAGTGCAAGAAATCACTGATGTGCATTATTTAGAAGAACAAGGAAGAATGATGAGTTTTTCAACAAATGATAGGTTATTTTCCCTTCGAGGAAATAATTTAAGTGCTCTAATAAATAGAAAATGGAACTCAAGCAAGAAGCCAGCAGCACTTGTATTTTTTTTATTTTTGTATATTGCATTTTATAATGTGTGTCAATTGCACTGTCAATCTGTGAATTGTCAACTGAGTATGAAACCATGTTAAACCAGATCTAAATAAAATAACACAAACAAGAATTATAGTGCAATCGTGTCTAGTTTTTTCTTTTTTCCCTTCTTTTCTTTTCTTTTTCTTTTCTTGCAGGAGAGGGAGGATTAAAAGTGACACATATTTCACTGGATTACTGCCCAGGCTATTCCTCCCTTTGAGCTCACCTGCATGTGTGTTCATCTTATGAAGCTGCCTTAAAATGAGGGGACATTGGTCTGGCTAGTTCAATATTCTATAAATAGTCAACACTATATATTAATGCAGCAGCTCTGCGGAGGCTCAGACAGGGCTGCTTCCCAGATATATGTGGCCATTCTGGGCCAAAATGTGTCTCCTAAATTCCCCCACACTTTCATTTTCAGCAAACAAGGCTTCCATTATTCTGTCTCCTTCCCAGGATTCTCAGGGGTGCTTTTGCATTGGCCTTCTTATGAGGTGGCTGAGGATACTGTGTGTTTTTTTTGTTTTTCTGTCACACATGTCTCCATCACTCTCCATCCCTTGTCTGCCCGCAGTTCCTGATCTGAAAAAGTCCCATGGCAGGAATTATCTCTTGGCATCATCCATTGTACCTTCCAAAGACCTTGCATAAATTTCTTTCTTCTGCTTCTTTATCTGTAAACCAGGCGTAGGACTGGCAAGCTCTCAAACAGAGGGCTCATCCTGTAACGTTCCTTCAGATAAGAAGACTATCCTCTGTCAGGATACATGGGCATTCAAAGGGTTTCCACAAGTTGTATGTACACAAGAACCCCTAAGTGACTCTGTACAAGGAGGCTGAACTGTTTGAGCGAAGGACTGGACTTCACCTCCAGTTAAAGTGAAGATTAAGATTCTTCTTTAGGGATGTCAGAGAAATCAGCAACCCAGGTTTCTAAGAATCCAGTCTGTGAATTCCAGAGTGGATGGGCATTTCCAGAGTCAGGTAGATTCTGACCTGCTGTTTGGACCATTTGAGAAGGCAAGACCATCTGGAGAAGACAAGTAAGTTATGCAACGTTGAAGGCAGGAGATGAAAAGGAAGACCAAATATGAACTGGATTTAATCTACAAAGGAAACCATGGGCTTGAACTTGGGAGAGCAGAATGGAGCTGTCATGGAAAGGGCTTTTTGGGGGACTTACCTTCACAGAGTCACCATAAGTTAGAGATGACCTGGTGGCACATTTGGACATTTCCATCCCATCTTCACCCTCCCTTTTTGGAAGGCAAGGAGGCATACTCAGCCCTCATGGGGTTGTTTGCCTAGTGATTTTGTTATATCCTATTGATATTTGTGTAGTTCTGTGAAAGCTGGATTTCCCCCAACCCTTTTGATATTGCCCTTTTGTACACAGCCGGTGCCATTTTGGATATCTTTCTTTTATTAATAGACTTTTAACATGTCCATTAGTCAGAATGACTCTCTGGGCAGCTTACAGAATCCACTAATAGCAATAATAAAACAGTAATATTTAGTTCAACATGTATAATGCATCAAAGAAATAAAAGGAATGAAACACAAGAAAAGTCCACCAGAAAACCACACAATAACCACAGTTCAATCAAACCAAAGGCACAGTAGTAATAAGATCCAATAAATACCACATACAATTTCTTTTAAATCACTTTAATAGTTAAAATATTGGGCAGATACAAGTCCTTGCCTGGCACTGAAAGAAGCAAACAGGTGAACCAGAGTGTATATGAGGATCAACACACAGTGAGCTTGCTATTAGTATATAGGAAATTTAAATGATTATATATAGGGGAACTAAAATTTTCAAGAGACTGGACAATTCTCCTATGAGGAAAAGTTAACTGGGATTGCTTATCTTAGAAAATAACTTAGCTGAGGGAGACAGGAAGAGGAATGCAAAGACGTGTGCATCAAACATATGGACGGTATCAAGAAAATCAGTAAGGGAGACGTTTTATTCCCCTCTTGCAGAATACTAGAACCCAGAAGGGCCCTCCCATGAAACTGATTAGTGGGAGATTCGGGACAGATAAAGGGTGGACTTCTTCACACAGTGCATTGCTAAATTATGGAATTTGTTTTTGCAAGATGTCTTAAAAAGTATTGGACAAATTCATGGAGGAAATGAATGGCTTCTGGTCTGGATGGTTGTGCGTTGCTTCCAATATCAGAGGCAGTATGCCTGTGTGCACCAGTTGCTGGGGAACATGGGTGGAAGGTGCGGTTGCACTCATGTCTCACCGTTTTCCCATTGGCTGCTTGTTATCGCTGTGCGAACAAAATGCTGGACTCAACAGACCTTGGCTCTGATCCATCAGGGCTGTTCTTATGTTCTTATATAGGATAAACCAACTTGCCTATTTCCGTGCTCTGCCATCCACCGAATCTTTAATGTTTTTCCAACATCCACTAGGCCTTTCAACACTCAGAGCAGCTGGGTCTGTGATGCAGTCTAGACTTTCACCTGTCTCTCAACATGGAATGTTGCCTCTTATTAAGTTCCTACTGCAGGGCTCATGTGACTTTGTCCGAGATGGATAACAGAGGAACAATTGTTGTCTAATTACAACAGGGCCTGTATTATTTTGGTAACTTGGAGTCCCCAAGAGAACAGGCCTCTTTAATATAGCCCCAACTATATAAATGATCTATAATGTTAAACCTCACCGCTGCAAGTATTGTGACCTGCAGAAATCTAATGAAAGAACCAATTGAGAAAGGTCAAAGTGGGGTTGATGAAGAAAATGGTCACATGGGCAAGGTGGAGCACATCCAAGTAGGTATAAATCATTAAGTCTTAGCCTTTTTAAAGCCAATGTTCTCCTCCTCGCCTTCTTTTGAGCCGTATTCCTCAAGGTAAGTTCTGCTCCCTGTGCTTTTGGGCAGAAGAGATTCTAGCAAGCTGACCAGTGCATTTGAACCCTGATTTGAAAAACCTGTTGACTTGGGAGTAAGCGCCATTGGTGCAGCAGAGGGAATGGGACAAAGGTGGCCATGACAATCATGCCACCTCTGGAGTAAGTTGCATCCATTCAGACCTCTTTCATTTGAAGAAAGGAAGTTCTCTTCTATAGACCCTTGGCCGACCTAACCATCCCATCCTCTGCACCAATACTGAGCTGTAGAAAGGTTGCTGTGCTGGGCCAGGGTTTCAGTTCCACCTGTGATGTGATCCTAGGCCTGCATATTCAGAAGTAAGTCCTACTGAGTTCAACTGGATTTACTCCTGATAAATGCAGCCCTGGTTGCTAGCCTGGCCCCGCTCAAGCTTACAGCCTTAGGGCTCAGCCAGATGGTTCTTAAGTGGCTGGATGGACTCCTTTAGCCCATCCCATGTGCCCTGTACAGGTGTGGTGCTTTTCAGCCTTGGCTCCTCCCTGGCTGCATTGTGGGTAGGTGATGTTGGATGCACCTTCATACTGCCTGTGTATTCTCCAAAGATACCTTTCAGCAGTGGGTGAGGGAATAGTTCCCGAGAAATGGTTCCTCCTTTTTTCTGGGACTTAGCCAAGCAATAAGGAGATAGTGATATTGGCCCACCCTACAAGACTGTTGTATATTTTATGGCAAGATAAGGCATGCAAAGTGTTTGGGCATTGTGAAAGTGCTATTAAAAGCTAATATGTATGGAAGTGTAGACTCTGTTTTCACTCTTGGGCAAAAGATGCAGAAAAGTTGTGGGCCAAAGTGAAACAGCAGTATTCTCAGAGCAGTCTTTTAAGAACAACCCTGTGCCTGCTAAAGCACAGCAGCACTTCTGAATCAATGTAATGGGATTACACGGTTAACGTCATACTGATACTATGCTCTTTTCATTTGAGAATATGTCAATAGATTGTCATGGCTGAGATATCCACTGATGGACACATCTACGTATCCTGAATTCTTGTTTTTAGGAATCAAACCCCACAAATATTTATCTAAATTGGTGGTCCCTGGCATACCTTCTGGCAGTAGGCTTTATAAATTAATGCTGAACAGAAAGCGGAAGCAATGCTTCTTCTTTTGCCTGGCCTTAGCCTGTTAGTGAACAATTCACAGGGCTGGCCCAAATTCTGGTATGAAAGTGGGGGAAACACCTATTTCAACCCTCTCTCTTCCCCCCACTCCTGACTGTTCCCCTGCATCTTTGACAGTTTTAACAACCACTCACAGAACCCTCATGCGCTCTAGCGCAGTATCCAGCATGATGCTCTTCACAGAAATGGTGGGCATCTTCGGCCCTGGCCATTGCTTCAACTTGTCTGGTGGGCAAGGGTTGGGACAGGCTACCTTCACCTTTCCTTTTATAAGCAGGTATCTCCACACCCAACCTGACAACTTCAGTGTGAGCTCAAATCTCCCATGCTAAAAATGATTCCCTAGCAAAATTTTCTCTTTGGCCCTTGTCATTTAACTTCTACAACATAATTATCTCAGGAAGCGTACATAATTTGTTTTACATTTCCCTATGTGCTATTTCCTTAAAATAACATAATGCACACCCTCTGTCTAATATTTTACTTAATTCACCAGGCAAGATTCCTGCAAAATAATGGTGGTATTTTTGCTGGTGATTATGCTGATGGTATTGCATAGTGGTGGTAAGTGGAAAATCATGTTATCGTTTTTCTCCAGCTCCATTAAATTATTTGTATGGACATCCTACTTCAGACGTGGCCCTAATGGATCTTGATAGACTCTAGCAGCTACTACTACTAGAGTCAGGTCAATCATATTTAGAGCAGATCCACTGAAACTCATCTGAGTTCAATGGGTCTACTCTAAGTCTAAATCAAGGTCTGGTGTAATAATGCATACAACACCTGCAATTTTATGCAGGTGTTTCTGGGAGTAAACAACATGGTACACAGTAAGACTTCTGAGTAAGCATGCATAGGATTAATAAATGTCAGTAATTTGCATTAGTGTTTTGGTATGTACAGAATAATAGCTTAGATCCAGAGTCAGCAGGGTAGACTCAACATAATGGGTTGATTCATCCTATTCATGCCATTGTATATGGAATATAAATATGATCAAATCTGGATCCAGCCCCCTACAAAATAGAATCATAGGCTGAGAAGTCCTATCAATTCCCTTTAGCTTTTAGTCATCAGAAATGTCTCCATTCCAGAGCTCATGAAACGCTTGTGTTGGAAGCCATCTCCTCTTCAAAGAAGGAGAAAGTTCTGCCCACAGATCCTTTTGCATTCACAGAGCACCCTTCCATTAAAGCCCACAAGGAACAGAAGAGGTCTTCATTAGGCTATTCCAATGGCTAGAAAATCCATTTCATCTTTTCTTAAGTCATCTTACATAAACACAATAGCTCCTTTTACGTAGTGAGCTCCATAACCAGAAAATCAAGAGCATTTTATTGAATACTGCTCATATTATCATTCTTCTATCTGCAAGATTCTTCCTATCTCTACTTTCTCACACCAATCCACATTTTTATGAAAGGGGAGAATTTGATTATTTTTTTCTCCAAAGCAAAAATACAATGTATGACCTCCATATATTTTTCTGTAACGGATGACTTTGTGATTTACTTTATGCTTCCAATGCATTCACATTTCAGAGAAGTGCACTGGCAATTTGATTTTGCACACAGGCAAATACATCCTACTGATGTTAGAAGGAACAACGAAGACTCTTGTAGCATCCTAAAGAGGAAATCGTTTATCATGGCACAAGCTTTCTGCAGACTACAGTCCATTTTATCAGAAGCATAGTAGCTCATAAAAAGTTTATGCCTGAATAAGCATGCTGGTTTGGGCATGCTGGGAGTTTTATGACTTTTTCTAAACCTCTAAATCGTGCCCTGAGTCTTTAAGACATTGTAGGACTTGTAGTTGCTTTTGCTGCAGCAGAAAACCAAGCCCCTCTGGAAACAGGAAGAATTTGTTTTAAAATATATGTATGTGTGATTGCAATGTTCAATCTCTTTCTCCCTCTCATTTAATACACTAAATATACTAATAGTTAAATATCTGCAGTACCAGATATTTAACTGTGCAACGCCTGAAGGGCTGAGCATTTCCACCCTGTACTTTGTTAGGATCAATCCTATATTCCCAGAGAATCCATCATGGCTGCCCTTTGAAGATGAGATGAAAGGTGTGTTTCCTTGTCTCTGCCCTTGCTATTCTCTTTGGTCCCTGCTCTGGCATCTCCACAACGTTTCCCCCTCTTCCCCCTTGTCTGACTCTGCATCAGTTCCCATGTCTTCTTGGGGAACTTCTGCAGAGATGTAGGACCCAATCATCACACAAGGTCCCTTCAAATGATTAAGATGCCAAAGAACCTGGAGAAGCTTTGATGTAATTAATTCCTTTCTCTATCAGTCAATTGGGGGGGGGGGGGAACTCCCCTTCCCAGTTGCCACCCTCTCAGTGGCAAAATAGCAGGGAAATGGATCTAGTATTCACTCTACCCAAAACCCCAGGCTCTGTTACAATATTAAAGTAATACAGCGCAATAAACCATAATAAGATGAGAAGAAAACAACAATAAATTGTACTGAAACACTAGCAAGCAACATAAAGAAATACAGTATAAAAGAGATAATGATGAACAGATAGGAACTAATAAAGAGCAGAGTTCTAGTCTTGTTCATTCATTGACCAAAGCTAAAAGACTGATATTACCTGCCCGCCTCCTGTTTGCGCCCACCTCCTGTAACACAGCGGATTGAGAATCTAATGAAGCTTGCGATATTTGAATGTGACTTGTAGATCCCACCTGCAGATGCATAAATACATGGACATTTAGTTCACCTTTTCTGAATCTGATGCGTAACTCTTTCTGTTGATGATTGTGTAATTACATATTTGCATGTAATTATGGACATAAATGGCATTTATACCTATAGTAAGGGATTTACGGTGTCATCGAACATGGCTGTCCTTAAAGTCAGAAGATTATGGGCATCCTATGGTAGATAAGTATGTAAAGTCTAAGAATGTTTCTGTGGCTCTATAGAATATTTTGTTTGTCATTGGATGCACCATCAAGCCATCTCTGACTTATGGCAACCCTATGAATGCGTGTGTCCTTTCCAGCCCTGCCCAGATGACCGATTTGTTTGACCATATGTTTTTCCTCGCCTTGCAAGGAGAAGCAGCTGAGACAAGCCGTCCTTCACTCTTTCCCTCCCCACTCCTGGAGTGTTGCACCCCATGCTGGCTCTGAAGTTGCTCTTCTGCATTTTGATCCCAGACAACACGGAGAGAATCTTGCTAGTTTCAAGGATAGTGGGGATGCCTTCTTAGGTTGAAGTCCCAACTCTGACCTAGGAGTATTCGAAGGTTACAGCTGGAACACCCACCTATCCAATGCCACCTCCCCCCTCAAAGCCCCAGACAATGTCAAGAGATGATAGGCCTTTTTTCTTGGCTTGTTTTTTTGGTAGGAAAACTGGATTTTGTTCCTCTCTTTTATATGGCTTTGTTTGTCCTAATTTGATTAACATTGAGAAAGTAATTAAAAACCTAGCAAAACAAAACCATTAACCATTCATAAATATGCAAGTAAACAGAAAGGTCTTAACTTGGTGTCAGAATGCCAGTAACATTGACAGCAGGCCAATATTTTGAAGGAAAGCATTCCAGAACAGATAACAGCACCTGCTGCATTTTTCCATATATTGGGACTTCAAAATGGCTCTCTTTCTTGCTCCATCAAATATAAGGGAAGAGGTAGGCTGAGCACAAAAGGATGAATCTGTTGCTTTTGCATTCCCATTTTTCCAATCATAAGTGTGGTTTGTCCCAAACTTCTCATATCTGGAGTTTGGTTCATCTGTACACTGAGGTTTTAAAAGTTTGCACTCAGAATCATAATCATTCTTATGCACATTTCCTTAATATTTGCATTCTCATAAGCATATTTGCCTAAGATGCACATTTTCACAACCAATATATCTCATATAATAAATTTTAAACTTTATTTCCACAATTCACAACTTTTTGTATGCGAGTGTTGATTGGAATTCCACTGAAAAATTTGGTGAAGTCCCAATTTAAGAGGGGACTTGAGTTTCAATTTGCATAGGGCTTCAGAAGTAAGGGACTGGGTGATTTCACATTCTCTCTCATCCCAAAGGCTGATACAAGCATCAATGTAGTGAATAGCTTTTGCATCAAATGGTATTTTATAGGTAAGGTACACCAGAACAGCAAGACTGTCAGCCCTGGCAGTAAATGTTGATTTGGCCTGTGTAATGCTTGGAATGGTGCTCTTGTCATTGATTTTTTCCTTCCTGATTTCTGTTTCCTCTGAATGGAATGGGTGAGACAGGTGGTCAAGGATCAGAGGTACCAATGATGCCAATGGATCTTCCTCATGGAACAGAACAAAACCTAAGTAAGACATTCTTGTTAAGTCTCCATCTGGCAAAATATGTATATATGAAACTATAGCTCCATCTCACCTGGTATTACTTCCTATTGGACAGTGGTTCCTTGAGGTCCCTGGAAGGATCTTCTCCTAGTTCTGCTACCTGTGGAGATCTTCTTAACCTACCAGCAGATACCAGGAGCTAAACTTCTGGGAACTGCTCCATGTAGAGCATATTTGCTTCCTCATAAAAATTTTCCCCTCCCTAAAAACAGCAGGTAAGCTTGAATGACTCCCCTAAAGAAGCCAGGATCTCAGAATGGACTCAGAGAGCCTTTTCTCTCTCCAGTATGCTTTGATTCCGGCAGTTGTTGAATGAAGGGACTGAGGAACTGACAGGCAAGCTCTGTGTAAATGATCTAGACTTGTCTTCTTGATATCTGTGTTTGGGGAATCTGTTTTTCATGAAGGGGTATTTAAACAGGTGATCCTCTATCGGCTTCTGTGGACGATGCATTCTAGGATAAAGTCTTTTGTACTTCTGTGTCCACAGACTGGATCTAGGGATCATCTAAGGGGTCTACTGAATAAAGCGATATGACAGAGCTGCCATTGTGGGTAGGAATGGCTGGGCACCTGTCAAGGGGCGACCCTCTAGGGGGTCCCACTGCTGAGAGTCCCACAGACTTGCCCTGGGTCTTCCTCATTGCAACCCACTTATGTGTCTGCCTCTTGCTCTAGCCCAGGAATGCTGTTGTTGAGAAGAATTGAGCAGCGGTGGAGGCCTTGACCACCCACAAGAAAGAGGAGAAGCAGCAGTGAGAGCCATGCATAGCCTGAACTGCATGCCCCTCCCCTTCTTCCACATGTCTAGTCACTCTAAAGCAACCTTCCCCAATCTAGAACCCTGCATATGTTTAGAACTACAGCTCCCAAGGTTCCCAACCACTGGCCATGCTGGCAGAGGTTCTGGGAGTTGAAGTCTAAAATATCTGAAGGGCACCAGATGGACAAGGGATAATTTAAAGTTCGACAGAGTGATGCGAGAGCAGGGCAGAATGATCCCCCACCTTTTAAGAGACAAAATTAAATCAATGAGGCAGAAGAGCATGCATATCTAACATTTCCACACTGTTCATATTTAGATAACATCACTTTCTTCAGTGGGGTTTTTACAGACGTGGAAAGTGTGGCATTGTTTTTCGGTAAGTGAACTTTCATTCTTCAATTCACAGTGGAGTTTGCATAGCTTTATTTTTTTGGGCATTACTGTGACATGACAGGACATATAAATGTAATATTTGCATATCCAGAATGGGCAGGTCTGGTGCATAGCAAGACTGTGGGGCTGAAACTGTTGTGCTCCAGACTGGATTCCACCCGCTCCATTCCATTGCTCCATCATTGCAGTTTTCTGTCCCTCCCACAACATTCAACTTTCCTTGAGCACCAATTTCAATTCATATTGCGCTGTTTGGGAGAATTATGGGGGAGGGGTTTATTTTTCCTTTTTAATACATTCTATCAGCCTTGGGTTTCCCCAAGTCTGTGAAGACCTTCTTTTTGTGCATGCTGATACAGTTTTGCCTACACAAGCAACAACATTTCACTACTTGAAAACTGGAATCAGAGGGTAAGTGTCAGATATGTTTAAACAATGCCCCATGGAGATAGGGAATTAAAGGAGCACTAAAGAGGATTAATTAAAGAGAATCTGGATGTATTATTTCCATCCATCTTCACTGCAGAAAATCCATGCATAAGCATGTCTCCCCTTACTTACCTTTTATCTAAGCTAAGCAATCCCAGAGGTTATACCCTTTCCTTGCAGGGAAGCTGCTCCAGTCCCTTGATCATTTCTACTGCCCTTTTCAACACTTTTTCCAACTCGACATTAACATTTTTAAGTGCATTTACCCGAAATGGTGCACAGTATTCTAGGTGCGGTCACACTGTTGCTTCATGTAAGGGCATTTTGCTCTTGGAAGCGTTGTTTTCAATGTATTTTGTACAGTGACTGCTATAATGTAAATAAATATACCTTTCATCAAGTGGTAAGATGATATGTAGATGTTCTTTGTGTCTCCTTACTCCTCTGCCCAGGTGCTAAATCCCCTGCCTGCTCTGCCTTTAAGATGGACCAGCTTTCAAATACAATGTACCTTCAAACAAAGGATTGGCCTGTGTAAACTAAGACACGTGGCCCCATTATGGAGAGTTAGTGGTAGGAGGGCTTGCTGCAAACAAGTGAAGCCTTGTAGGGTACGCATGCTCCCAAGCGAGCGTGTTGAAGGATGCGTTTCTTGATAAAATGCACAGTATTTATAGTTTCTTCCACTTCTCAGCTCAATTCATTTTATTAGAAAAGTGCAGTTTCCTATGGATCCCAATTCCTTCGAATCAAGAGGTATAGGCCAGGAGGGAGGAGAAACTCTAGTTCCCATGCATCCCAGCACAACATGAGGCTCCTCAATATATCCGGGAGCATCCCATCCGTAAGGAGAAGGATTACAAGGCCTCTCCTACATGTGCTGACCTCCTTCACCCTTCAGTGTTTCCCAGTTTCCTCCAAAGTGCGAATGGGAGGGAGGTCAGCCTCTTATCTTCTCATGGCATATAGTTTTTTTCTGAGTTTTACTGGGGAAACCAGGGAAAGCCCTGAATTTGGGCTGAGAAGCCTCTGAGAAAGCTCTGCAGGAGCAACAGCTGAGCTGTGACTGGAGAGGCTGTTTTGCTCTTAACAATGTTGTCTTATTCTGGATGTCATCCTAGACTGCCTGGGGTCTCACTTCACCTGGCTTCAGTCCATATTCACCAACTTCCCTGCACTGCTCAACTTCGTAAGCAAAATGAAGTGTGTGACTGGCATTTGCCCAAGAGATTTTGAAGACTATGGCTGTGCCTGCCGATTTGAAATGGAGGGTCTTCCTGCGGATGAAGTAGATGAGTGAGTTTTTGACATTGACCGTGTCATTCCTATTTCGGGGAAGGTGAATCCAGGGTGACACTGACTCCTCAGATGAGGACAGTGAGGCCTGAGAAATGAGGTCTGCAGACATAGCCAAGCCAGAGGTGAAAGAGCTTCCTTCAGGGCTGCCCTCTCCAGGTGGCCCAGCAACTCTGAGGACCAGCAGGGATTTAGAAGTGGTGGGAGAGAACATGGGAAAGGAGCCAGAAGAGCCTGGGCCAATTCTTGGCCCCAATTTATAGCATCGGGAGAGAGTGGCCAACCAACTAGTGGGTCTCGGAGGCTTGCCCATCTCCATAGGGTTCCTGCAGCCCAGGGTTACTGGAAAGGAGGGTTCTCAGAAACAGTCTCTAGTTTGTGCTCCATGAACCACTCTGCATGCTCAGAGATTCTTCCTTTGTTGGTGAATAGCTGCCTGGAAATAAAGAGCTTTTGCCAATGAACTGTCTGTCTGGAAGAGAGAAGGAGGGAACCCAGCTGCTAATGGAGAGAATGAACCTATTGTCTGGAGAAATGTTGTAGTTCTATCCCTGGCATCTTCCTCTCCTTATCAAACTTAAACTGAAACCTTAGAAGTACAGCTCTTTTATCAAAATTTGTCTGGTTACGGAGTAGTATAAATCAAAGAAGCATCTGCCCATGGGAAGAGCTGAATCCAAACTGAGGCTCCCCTCCCTGGCCCATCTTCAGGGTAGCTCTTGCTGTTTGAGGGCTGGACACCAGGAGCAACAGAGATCTTGTACTTGAGCAGCTCACTTCTCCCGCTGCTGCCTGCCCAGGCCCAGGACCGCTTCCTGCATCTGCTCCCCTTCCCACCCTGGAAAACCTGCCTTTCCCAAGGCAGGCAAATTCTCATGTTTTGCCTGAGAAGTTTCACTAGGTCACCTTGCAACTGTGAAGTCCTCCACCTCCTCCCTGTGACTTGGACAAATCTATCTGAGCAGATGGCAAGGGGCAAGAGACCTCCCCCACCCCTACAGTAGGGCTGAAAATCAAAAACGAAAAAGAGAAAGTCCCCCGGAAAGCCGCTGCCATTTGCGTTGACCCTGCTGAGCTAGGCAGACCTGTGGTCCAGCTTGCGACACTGAAGCTTCCCAGTCTCTGTGGCTAAGTCCCAAATGGCCTTTTACATCCATGCATGATTATTCGGTCCTCCCTTCTCGATCAGCTGCTGCTTCCAACACCGGAAGTGTTACGAAGAGGCCACTGAAGAGGAGTGTGTGTGGGACCCTGCCAAGATCACCACGGATGTCAGCTGCCTAACAAAAAACATCACCTGCGGTAAGTTTGGCACAGGAGTCTCATGGGAGGAAGTGAAGCTTGGGGCCACATTTGCAAAGATTTCATCCTGCCTTATTCTCGAATGCTCCAGTGATGCCTGCTCCTGGTGTCTGAGGGCCCTGGGCAAGACATGCACAATGGACCCCTGCTGCGATATAGGCCCCTTCCGACCTTTGATGCTGGCCAATGCTCAGGGAGGCTTGGACAAATGAACAGAAGAATGCAATTCAAAATAACAGCCAATTCAAAAGATAAAATAGCAGTGCTGGCCATACCAGTTAAAGTCCAGGCAACCCAATGCTGCACAAGTTCCAAGTCCTCTTGAAGGACAGTGTCATGTTTAGTAATCCGGCTGGGAGTAAACCAGAATGTGGTCAGACTGAATATAACTATCTTTATATTTACTCCTGTTTCTAAGAAAGAGCTTTGGCCAAAAGCATGTGAAAGTTCCTAGACTTGTTCTCTGGCTTCTCTATGGGGGACTAGGAACAACTCCATCCTGAAATTCTGGAAAGCTGCACCCTCTCTGTGTTGACAGTACCATGGTAGTAACATAGGAAAGGCCTGATTCAGGACAAGGCTGGTTTTAATTCTGGGCAAAAACTGAAATTTGGTTATCGTTGTTGTTGTTAATGGTGTGATGTTCCATGTTTGTGTTGTACCCTATAGTAAAGGTTAGCTGACAAGGTGCTTGTTGTTCATTCTGAGATAATGGGAAAGTGACCAGTCCTCCTCTCTTCAAGGTACTTGGCAACAGCTTTTCTAATGGGAGAGACTCCTACTTTGTCTTACCTCTCTTGGGGGTTTTGTTTTTTTCCGCTTGCTGTAAAGTGGTTCACACAACTCTGTAGGTGTTCAAAACATGCATGAAGGTTCTCCTGCCAGATGAAGCCCACACCAGCCTTGGCTGTTTGAAAAGGGTCTATGGACGTCGTAACACATGTTGACCAAGCTGCTCCCTGGAATTGTGGTGGCCCAGAATTTCCTCTTGCATAAGCCACGGGAAGGACCCTTTCACAGAATGCTCAACCAGACACCACGATTTTTAAAAAAGTGTAAGGCAATGCAGGTGATATTCTTTGGGTTGGATTCAGATTTAGACTGGATTACTTTGCTCCCACAGCTGCCCAAGCCCCCTGATGATGCTCCATGGGAAATCTGGACATCCTGCAGAATGGAGCAAGCTGCCAGGGTAGAGAGGAGGGGGCTTAGAGCAAGTGGATGTTCTCCTCCTGTAGAAGCAGATCCTGGAGCCAAGCCTTCCTTATTCCATGGCTGGCATCACGCGCCTCAGCAATTAAGCCATGGCTTACATGGTGTGTGTGTGTGTCTGTGTGCGTCTTAATGTGGATATATGCCTGACAGATGGTGAAGTGGTTTCCACACTAGCCTAATTTCCACCCTCCTTGCTCAGCCCCCTGCTGCTGGCACATATCCCATCCGTCCTTGGATGGCTGGGGCAGCTGCTGCTCTTTCCCAGTGGCGCTGTGGTAGTAGCATACCAGGCTGGATTCAGAGGACTGGAGAAACTATAATGAAGTGTGGAAGCCATAGAACAGACTGCATCGCTTGCCCTGTCCTGTAAACTTGCCCTGCGTATGTATAGTACAGCATAATTAAGAACATAACTCCCACGATGCCCTTGTTTTTGATTTAGCCTGCAGAACTTTTTTGAGAGTTGCTTATTTCTGTCTTATGTCATCTGGATTTTATTGTGAGACAAGTTATATTTTTGGAGCTGAAGCTGAATTTGTAGTTCACCGAGGACCATCCTGAAATCAATCTCTCTCTCTCTCTCTCTCACACACACACACACACACACACACACAGAGAGAGAGAGAGAGAGAGAGAGAGAGAGAGAGAGAGAGAGAGAGATTGATTGATTGATTGATTTCCTGGTACCTCTTGTCTTGACATTGTCTCAATCTCAAGCTTGTTAAGTGCTGGCCAAATAGTGTCAGAAGCACAATATAGACTTTTGCAGCTACAAAATGAAATGTGCTTGCCCAGGTCAAACCCTTATACCACGAAAGCAGATTGCGGAAACAGATATCTCAATGGCACTTTGTACGTGGGCCCCCCATCTCTTTCTCTCTATCTTTAAATGGCTCTCTTTCATTTCCAGACTCTGACGATTCCTGCAATCGTTTTCTCTGCAACTGTGACAAAGCGGCTATTGAGTGTTTTCTGCATTCCCGAATTAATTCTTCCTTGAACAGCCTGGATGTCTCCTTCTGTCCTTCTCTGGTTACAGGTGAGACTCAAAAGGGAAAGCTCTGAAACATCAGTATCTGTAGGCAACCCTGTGAATTGGTCTGCCTCACTTATGGGGCCATGTGTTGATACAAAGACAGCAGTGGGGAGAGAAAGGGGTCTGGTAACTCTCCCGACTGCTTCTCCTTAGGTATTTGCAGCTCTTGAGCACTTTGTACATTTATGAGCAAATAGATAGGTTTGGAAGGGGCCAAGCAGGCCATCGAGTGCAAGCCTGAAATGATTTAAAGCAGGTCAAATTCTCACTGGACAACCTGTGATAGAATTTGGTTTCAGCAGTGGCTGAAGCTGCTTTGGAATAGCACCATGAGTTTGAAGCTCAAAGGAGTCCAAAGAAATTGCTTCAGCCCCCTCCCTACTCCTGCAAAGACAAAAAAGCATCTTGGTTTTGGTTTTTCATACAATTTCTTAGTAGTCACGAGTGCAGAAAAAACAGCTGTTGTACATAGGCAAGGAGCTAGAGCAGGACAGAGACTTCTCATTGTCATAAAGAAACGTATGTTGTGATGGAAACTCATGAAAAGCAGCCTTTGTTCAGTTGTCATCCGCAGCCTCAAGTCTTGCATCCTTTTCTCTTAACATGCATGCTGTCCATTTTTCATGCAGCAACACTTCTGTGTGTGTGTGTGTGTGTGTGCGTGTGTGCGCGTAAATCATGGGGCATCTGTTCCTTCCTCTTTACAGAAACAACTAGTGAGACAAGCCAGACCACAGTTCATGCTGCAGGTATGCTGTGCATCGCGCACATGAATGGGAACTTCACTGGCCAAGGTTCCTGTTTGCATGGATGAGCCTCCTGTGCATGGATCTGCCTGCACATAGACCCTTATTACACTACATGGCCAGCAATCCCAATGGCTAGCTAGCAGGCACAATGCTCTCTCCGTTCAATCATGCAGGGGGGGACGAAGACATGCTCCTTAAATTTCTCATGTCTCTGGTTTTGCTCAAGGGAAAGCTGGATGTTTCTCAAGACAAGGGCCAGCTTGTCTGGTTATTAGGAAGAAAAAAGCAGTTTCTTAGCATGATTTCCTTTAACCTTTGGTGGTGGTTTATCCTTGCAATGCTTGGAAAATGGGTGGAGTAAGGATGCTGTGAGTTTCTTCAGGATAAGCATCTCCTTGCTTTCTGTTCTCTATAGAGCTTCAGCACCAGCAGACTGGAGAGGCACAGTTGGCCGATATGTCTGTGGCACGAGGTATGTGTCTCTTCCAATTTGTCCTCGTCCGGTATAACTGTGGCCACAATGAAAGCTTTGTAGGTCATATTTTTCAAGAAGGGAACAAAATGCCTATGATGCCAACTATTAAGGAAAGGTCCACATATTTAGTCTCAGTATCTTTCAATTTTATTATTGCATTGCCTTTATAATCTGCTTGTTTTCCTCTTGTGAGGCAGCTCTAGTCAATCCTCACAACAGCAGCCCAAAGCCCTACATTCTAGCCTCCATATCACACTGGCTCTCAAACATAGGGAAAGAGTGTTTCCCCTCTAAGCACGGTGTGTTGACCTTACAGCCATGAACCAAATCTGGTCCTCCAAGAGTCCAAATGCATTTGTGTTTGTGTTTGTGTTGCCTTGGCTTGTTTCGGTTTGGTTCCGTTTGGTTCCCCTCAAGAGCTGAAGCTCTCTGGGTGATTTGCAAAAATTAAAATCTTTAAAACACACAGACATATAATATACAACAGAAAGAGATGCACACATATTATGTCTAAAAACCATCTGGCAATTTGGCAAAAATGGTAGTTTGGGGGGGCAACTTACTGGCAATAAGAGCTTTAAGTGAGAACATGTTGGTACTGTGGGCCTATCCCTTTGTCGTCTGCTCCACCCACTGGTGGGACATGGCGCCCAAGAGCTTCTCTGACACAGGGGCTGGGCCTGGGCGTCAGACTGAAACTGCTTCAACACCTCTGCTATAACCAACGGAGAACCGGAGGATAGGAAGAGCCCCATGATCAGGAGCATGTGTGTTCTGAGCGAGGCAGGAGAACTCTGTGGAGGAAGACCATGCAATCTTCTGAAGGTCTTGGACAGCCATGGTCTAATCCAACAACTGTATTTACTCATCTTCTGACTACTGAAATTTGGCAAGGAGTGATGGATTGTATCAACTGGATGGTTGAATAAACTCCTAGATCTGGACAGTTCATCCCATTGCACTGATATCTAGAGCAAAACGTAAGGCAGGAAAGATAGTGCTTTTTCTGGTCAGATCCAGTTTATTTCAGTATGAGAAATATGTTATCTGGTAGGATCATGCTTTGTTAGAATGTAGCCAGGAAGAGGGTTGAGGAATGGGAGGAGGGGTTGGTACACATTGCACAAATAGAAGGAAGAAAATCATGGCAAGTGTGTTACTCCAAATATGATACGTCCATTTGATGAAGAGACTTGTGTCACCCTAAAGCTTGCACATTCTCACAGGCATATCCTGATCTATTTCGTATCTTACAGCTATTCCACACCCCACAAGTGGGTTGGTTGCAAAGACTGCTGGTGCAGAATGTAAGTGCTTCATGGGCTGCAATTTTCTGCCTGCATCAATCAGTTTAATTTGTTATATTGTTTGTAAACATGCTAAATTAAGGCCAAACCTTTTTCTTTTAAGCAGTTACTTCAAATGTGGTTAGTGATGGAGGTCTTCAGAGTCAGAGAGGAGGTATGTGACATTTGGGGGCTTTTGTAAATATCTCCTGAGGTTGCATTGTCTAGAAATATGAACTTGCATATATAGTCCAAAATATTATTGGCAAAAATAAACTTTATCAATTTTTTTTTCAAATTAATGCATTTACTTCTAGTAGAACATTTCCTTCTGGTAGGGATTAGACTGATAATTTGCAGGGGAAATTAAAAGCCAGCTTTCTAGACTAAGCTTAATTATAAATAGGATTAGCTATTCTGTTGAGAAAATTATAGAACAGGGTTTCAGTCAGAGACTGTTGTGCTTTTTAATCTTTTGTTTGGCAGATGCCCCTCTGGAGCCCAGTGACCTGTTGCTGAGAAACCTGGAAGATCCAGGTAAGTAAGTGCACCTCCTGAGCTCACACGCCTGTCACTCACCACTCCTGTACGTGCAAAGCCATCACTGATTACCGTTCTGCATTTTTCTTGCATTGCAAGGCCCCAGAGATCTTCGTAGGAACAGGAGATTTGAGCTAAGTCTCAAGTCTAGTCCTGTCTCCTTAACTATATCCCAGTGATCCCCCTAAAAGTTTTGCAAAGTAGAATAGCCTTCTCTACACCGACTCTTACCAGCAAAGCGAACTACAGAATAACTAACCTCAGTGCCTTTATTTGTGAGGATCTGAGAGCTAGTGTGGCTAAGAGTGTGGAACTGGGACTTGGGCAACCTGGGTTCTAGTCCCCGCTCAGCCACCGGGCCACCTGGGTGACTTTGGGCCAGTGGCAGACTCTCAGCCCTACCTACCTCACAGGGTTGTTGTTGTGGGGATGAGATGGAGAGGAAGGGGAGAACGATGTAAGCTGCTTTGAGTTCTTGGAAAGAAAAAAGGTAGGATATACAGTGAATAAATAAGGCAGGAAACTGGCAACATTGGTAGAGATATCTACCCAACATGGAAGCCCCATCCTTCTCCATACAGAGGCCCATTATAGAATTACTCCAAATACTCCATCAAGTAGTCCATGATGGACCTAATCATGGTCCATGATAAACGAGACTGTTTATAAATGCTCTGGCACCTGAATTTCTTTGGGTGGGTGGGTGGTTTTTGCGATCAGAACATTATCCCTGTACTGGTTTCTTTTCACCAGTTACTCCAGATGTACTCCAGAGTGGTGGGGGCCTTGAATCCCTTGGAGAAGGAGGTATGTGATAGAACATGAAGGAGGCAGGTATAAAATCTCTTTTGTTCTGAAGCAGAAATAGCTGCTGATGGAGCTATCAATCCACAGTTGGTTTAATTGTAAGCACCCCATCCCTTCAACACTGCCGTTCTTTCTATAGCAGTATTCTTCTTTCTTCGTTGTGCTCAGGGTTGGAGTTGGGGTGTTTCTGAGATAGACCATTTCCTTGGTAGTGAGTTGCCACCGAAAAGGCCTTTCTTCACTTAATGTTGCTCTTTAGGTGTGACTCCACACAGTCAGGTTTAGGCCTCAGACCATTTCATTGCTGCTAATGGATTAACACCTTTAGATCTATTGCTGTTCGAACTATGCATTATCTACTGCTTTCCTAAGGTCCTTTTCTGATGCTACTTGGTGTTACTGCTGTGTCAGGCACATGGTGATTAATTTTAATCCTATTTGTTACACTTGTAAGGGCACCTTCCTGTACGATTTTTGAAGGAGCTGTGGCACGCTGGGAATGTTTCCTTCTAAACTTGCACAAGGTGGTACCTTTAGGGTGAGAGCTTATGGTCTCATAAGAACATAAATCAAAAGGCTCGGATGGGCCTGATTAGAGATTGTCTAAGAAGATAAGAACATAAGAAAAGCCAGGCTGGATCAGACCAAGGGTCCATCAGGTCCAGCACTCTGTACACACAGTGACAAACCAGCTGCCCACAGGATCCCACAAGCAGCATGGACTCAAGACCGTATCTTGTCCAGGCGCCTCAGCAGCTGGTGTTTGCAGGCATACCTCCACTAGTGAAGGGGAAAGCACGCAGCCAGCGAGGCTGGTAGCCACTGATAGCATCCTCTCTAATGAATCCCTACAACCCCCTTTTAAAGCCATCCGGAGTGGCAGCCATCCCCACTTTCCACAGCAATGAATTCCATACTTTAACCGTATGCTGTGTGAAGCAGGAACACTGCCTGGAGCGTGGCAGGATGCAGACTGGGAATTCTGGGTGTGGAGCCCCAGCCCAGGGCAGCTGGGACGGAAAGGCTCAGCACCGCTGCTTCTCTGTGGTCGGGAAAGAGCTGCTAGAGGAAGTGCAAGGAGCAGGAGGGAGGACGGCCACTGCCCTCCTATCAAGCATGGAAGATACTGGATTGCCCTGTAGCCTCTTTGAGAGCCACCATTAAGAGTGTGTGTGTGTGTGAAGTAAATTCAGAGGGTGTGGAGGGAGCTGCAGTGGGGAGGAGAGAACGAGGAAGCCCCGTCCCAGAAGCACTGTCCTTCTGCTTGGATAGCTTTGAGTCTAACCAAAGGGATTTAAATAAATAACAGATGTGTTTTCAGGGCTGTCAGAGAGAGCTTTCATGATCACAGAGGGAACTGCCTCGGCTTCATCTGGGATCAACTCAACAGAGCAGGAGCTAGTGCCAACACCAGTTTTTCCCGGGATATCAACAGACACTGGTTAGTGAGAATCATTTCCCGAGGAGGTCCGTTCGGGCAAAAAGCAACATGACATCTCACTTAAGTTTCTTAAAACTCCCATCTTTTCCTGAATTGCAGACATCACACCTCCTTCTGCTATTGCTCAGGGGAGTTGGTCAAAATCAGCAGAGACAGGCAACTCCCGAGTTAGCAGGGCCGTGTATCCCCTTTGGAGCTTCCTCCAATCTTTTAGGGAGCTATCTATAGTGCCAACCCTATTTGGTGACCTTCAAGGAGCACCCATGAATAGTTCCTTGACAGTTCAGACTAAAATCGAGGGCATACACAGCTCTGCTGGCATTGGACACACCGGCCTCCAGTGCTCACGATGTACCTGGGAACAGGGAGGTCCATACCAAGCCCTTTCACAAAGACCCACTGGGAGGTTTGGGCAGATCCGTGGTCAGTCAGTAGACTCGTGGGCCTTAATGACCTGAATGAAATATCCTTTGCCCACCTTCTCCCTGCTCCCCATATAATGTGCTAACAGAGGACCCACGAGCTGGAGTGTGCCGTTGTACTCTGGTTTGTGGGTTTCCCATGAGGAACTGGCTGCGTGTGGGGAACACAAACCTTGATGAAGTCAGGTTTTGATGAAACAAGGTTCTGCTCCATAAATGCATCTTCATTAGACTATGAGACTCTGTTTTGCTTTTGCTTTTGTTAAATAAGTCAGAACCCAGCAGCTCTAAAAAGACTTTTTAATTAAATCTGCAGGGAACCGTTTCAAAATTGTAGGAGAGGAAGGAACTGCCTTTTCCACAGTGTCTCCAGAAGAGACCCCAGAACCTGAGGAATCTTTTGGAGAAGGTGAAAGATGCTCTCCATTTAACCAATGACTTAATGGGAAGAAGTCCATGGAAACTTTGGGGTTTGGGAATGTGTAGTCTGAGTAATTTCTAACATTCATCTAAAGAATTTTGACTGAGAAAGGGAACAGATGGGAATCCAGCCATATCAGGACCTGGTCCAAAATCAATCAAAACTCAAATTATGACTTATTTGGGAAGACCACCAAGACTGTGCGATTTCTTACCTATTAAAATAATCAGCGGAGTGTTTGTATAATAATTATGGTAATGATGTACACAGAGAGGGTTGTATCCACCATGCTGGTCCTTTTGATGAATAGACCCATCTGCTGGAACAGATTCCAGACCAAAAACTTCTCTGTCAGGTTGGGGCAGGGATGTGGCTAGAGCAGTTAGGGGCTGCCCCCAAAATCCCTTAAGACAGAAATTGCCTGAAATATCTCCATTGAAATCTTCTGACATACCACTAAGTACCAATGGATTATGGGGCAGTGTTGCAGCATGTGGGAAGGAGTTAACCCTTCCCCCACCAGTTGCAATCCCCCTTGAAAATTGCCTGCTGCACAGCAATTAAGCTTGAACACGACCTTATATTCACGGCAATGGACACTCTTGTCCTTGTGGAATACATTTGGGCCAGGGTCCCATGGGCTTAGCCCTGGCAAAGCCCCTGGTAGGGTGACTTTCCCAAGCAGGGTTGGAATGAATGAAGGTGCATGGGTGCGGGAGGCAAAGTTCCACTGGATGAGCAGAAGTCACTAAGGCGTCTGATGCGTCTAATGATGTGACCCAGGGTTATCTCTCTCTTTCTAGTTTGTGATCGCTTGACTTTTTTCCAACTGAGAGACAATGGAAGAGTCCAGCGGGAGCTGCCACATTTGGGCGAGATGCTCTATTGTTTAACTGACCGATGCCCAGAGGAGTTTGAGTTATATGGCTGCTACTGTGGACAGGAAGGAAGAGGCCACCCAAAGGATGCTCTGGACAGGTTGCTGACCTTCAAAACACTTGGAGCAGAGGGGCAAGCCAGTAACCCCACACTTCTACAAGAGCATGCACTTATTTAGTTTAGCCATACCTCATGTGTCCTAAAAGGTGACTAAGGGACGTATAATAAAGATACAGCCAGGCATGGAATTAATAAAATACAATAAGATACATTCAACAGACTATAGAAGAGAAAGATGTGCAGAAAAGATCCCCCCCCACAATGCTGCCTGAACAAGTGCTTTTGCCTGTATTCAGAATGAGAGGAAATAGTGAGCTCCCTTGGGAGACTAGTCTATAACTGAGCAGAGGGGGCAAACACTAAGAAGGCCCTGCTTCTTGCTTCTGGTAATGAGCAATCTTGTCTCCAATGGAGGTGGAAGATAAAAGAGAACCCCCAGGTGGGGCTATGATGTTACTTGAGGAAATGTGTTATGGAAGCCAGCAAGTCACACACCCTGCCCTGGCAAATGGACACAGCCCTCAGTCCTAGTGTTGCTTCAGTTCCCACACAGTTGCTATTTAGATTTCAAACAAAGAAACAGGCAGGCTCACTGTATGCACACAGTCAATTTCAGGTTGATCTTGGCCTCAGGTAGACATGGCCAGGTTCCTTAAAACGTGGGCAGTCCTTCAGGTTCTGCAGAAACAAAGACACATTCCAGGGATCAAGTGAGAAGGGAAGAAAACACCTAAAGCACCAATATACGTTTTCTCCTCAGGGTTGTACTCTGGATGAAAAGTGAGTCAGGGGAAGGAAGGGAGAATGCTGCAAGTAATCAGTAAAAGTACCAACTGGCTATTGCTCACCCTATACCTCACCAAGACTTATAAGTTCTGAAACTTAATAAAAAAGAGTGAACTTATGAAATACTTCATAATGCAGTGCTTTGAAAATAAAATAACTGGGGATTCTTCCTGGAAATTGGGCATGGGGGAAAGTCTAATGGCTAACTTAGCACCCCACTAGCTAGAATATAGATATGAGGTGTGACACAAAAATAACCGAATTAGTAATAAAAAAATATATGGATGAATTACAGCATTCTGAACATTGTGATCTTCTATGTACTCCCCCTCCCAATCTCTACACCACTCCATACATGTTTTCCATTGATTGAAATAGTGCTGGAAGTCTCCTTGCAGGAGGCTCATTGCCATTTTGACTTCACTTCATCCATTGACGCAAAATGTGTTCCTTTCAGGTCACTCTTGATTTTCAGGAACAAGTAAAAATCACAGCAAGCTAAATCGGGTGAAGAAGGAGGACGATCGAGGACAGGAATGTTTTTCCCACTCAAAAATTGCTTTACAGGAAAAGCATGGTGCGCGGGAGTACGATGTTGATTCGCTGTTCAATCCCCCCCCCACACATACACAACATTATTGCTGCAACATGTGTAGTGAGTGTAATTCAAATACTGACCGGGCTATTGATAGGATATACCTAGCCGGTCGGCAGTTTGAGATGGCATGTAGGAGGAGATATAGTTCTATGATATACGTCTAGCCGACCTCCAAACGATTTTCCAGGAAAGCCTTAAGCGCAATCTGGTTATTTCTGTGTCTCACTTTCTATGTTAAAGTGGCACCGCAGTAGTTGAAAGTTGAGTTGAGTTGAGATATGGGTACCTGTGAGCAATTCCGGGGATGGTCATTCTTTTGGCCCTTGGTTTCCATGGGATGGCTTAATATGCATACATAAATCCAACAGTATGAAAACTTCTAGATGACATGCACAAATTTCAGTGGGAAGAAGGCAGCAGTTCCCAGCACATTCAAGTGACATCTTCTCGGAAGAGGAACACCTGGTTCTGTAGGATCTCCGTGTAGGCAAAGGATCAAGCCCTCGATTAGGACAACAGCTACACAGGATTTTGCTAAGTGAGACCAAGCCGCACTAAAACCACCATGAAGTCTAGATCAACAATTGCAGCCCCCTGGGGTGGAGACTTGCTTTCTGATTTCTTTGACAGAGCAATGCCTGCTGCCAAAGAGACAAGCCACTTTTCAACCATAACTTGCCTCTTTGGCAGAGGAGACTGCTCTCTTTAAAATGGCAACCAAACTCTCTTTGATTTCCATCTCTGCTTCCACCTCTGTTGTTTTGACATCAGCCACCGCTGCAGTAATATCAGGGAGTTTACATAGAGCAGGAAACATCAACCATCATATGCAGGTGAGGCTTTTACAGGACTGCAACAAGGCTGCTAAGAGGTAACAACGTACCACTTTCTCTGCTTTAAACCAAGGTGCTGCTTTTCTCACCATTGCTGTGTGGAGCAAGTTAAGAAGCTGGGATGCCATCCAGAAAGAAATTCCAGATCTGAAGTGGTGTGTTTTGATCACACGCCAAAGTGTAAGTCTGAGAGGAGTAAAAAGCCACTGACTTTCTATTTCAGTAAATGTATTTTTAAAGACTCTGCCCACTATATAGGAAAGTGATTAAATGGAAGAGTTGCCATCTGAACAAGGCCAAAGTTTTCAGATATTCCCCAAAGCAGCTGACATTTTTGCTGCAATATGCACTTCATCTCCAGCCTGAATCTTCTTAAATAAAGCGATATCTGCCTTGAGTTGAAGGAAAAACTTTAAAGAACTCCTAGTCCAATTAAGAGAAAGTTAAAATCCAAACAGACTTTTTTTAATGCTACAATATTGAAGGGAGGTCCTTGATCAGCTCGTCAGCATCATACAGTCAGCAAAGAACGAAAACTGCTTCTGTGACAAACACAGCTTTTTGTAGATTACATTATCAGTTACATCTGGTCTCTTGGAACACAAACAAGATAGGAATGAAGGAACTTGGGAGCACAAGCAGCTATCATGTGGCAACATTTACTGTGTCTTATATCTGGGGATTTCAAAGTGCTATCAGCAACATCCTTGTATTTTTCCTACAAACTATATTTCCAGAGAAATTTCATGGAGAGATCCTTTGCTTCCTGATAACCGCTACGTTCATGTTCCCCTGCACTCTTCTTTTAGGTATTGGCTGGACCATGTGCGAAAAGCTCCTGTGTTCATGCGACAAGGCCGCAGCGGAGTGCATGGCTTCTGCCTCCTTCAACGACAGCCTGCGCACTCCCGACCGACGGGCGTGCCGAGAGGACAAGCTGTTCTGCCGCAGGGCAGGGCACGAAAAGCCCCCAAGCGGTGCTGGGATCGGGGCCAGCGTCTCCAGCGAGGAAGAGAGCAGCAGTGAGGAGGCAGAGCCGACGACAGAGGTTTTGAGAAGAGGAAGGAGGGCCGCACGCCACGCACAGGGAAACTCCAAAGCGGCCCCCTTGCAAACCAGATAATCTGCGCTTCCCTGTCCAGTTGGTTAGATAATGGACATATCCAGGGGTCACCACCTGCTATCCCGAGTTATAGTGCAACTGCATGTGATGGGGGAGATTTGTTGTTATATTCCTAGGATTATATTCGTGTAGTTTGTGTCGACTGTTGAGGGGAAGGCAGGACTGAATCAGGACTGTAGCAGTGTGGGTGTGTTAACCCGTTTATCCTGTGCCATTTTTCTTTTCAAAATTAGCTCCTGCGGGAAAGATTTACAGATATCATAAGGTGACTTGTAACTCATCCTCCCTGGGGAAACTAGTAGGTTTAGAAACATCCTTATTTTAATCAAGCTAATCCCCAGTAGCTATTTTGTAAATGTAGCAAACAGTGGATTCCTCCCACATTTTATCTGTTTATCTTGCTTAGTTTTATGAATCCAACTTTTCCCTTTCAGAAAAATATTTTGTGGATTGCATAGTGGGTTCCTTATGCTAATGTTAGCACAGCTTCAGGAAACATGGAAGAAGCAACAGTTAGAAAATCAGCTATTGTTCCGAGGAACAGATACAACCCAGGCGGTGTTGCAGAGAGCAACTGTCGGCTGGTCCAAGGATGAAAGGGAAGAAGAACTGTTTTGTGCTGTGGCAGTGCATCTGCTGCTAAACTGTCCTTGTGAAAAGGCCTGTCAGGACAGGGACATGTGAAACTACCTTGTGCTGAATGAGATTGCTGCTCCATCTGGCATGAGAGTACCTAAGACAGCAGTTTCCTTAGCTCTGTGCCCCAAGAAGCTCCTTTTGACTAGGGGTTCCTTGCACTGGTTTTACCTGTTGATAATTACCGCTCTTGCCCATGCTTGGAAAAAACACAATACATGAAAATCTCTCTTTCGCTTACTCCCACCCCCCAAGTTCACATTGCTGAGAGTTGCTTTTAGTGATCCCAAAACTGTCCCCAAACCCCATCTTCCTGGGGTTTTGGTTCTCAGTGGTCTGTAACCCAGCAATGCACACAGCCAGAACAAATCTTGTCCAGTGCAGTTCTACTGAAAACTAAAAAGAGAAAACAGGAGGGGAACGACCCTGATCAATGTTGCTCCCAAGCTGTGGCTTTCCAAACCCCTAAAGTCTGTTTGCATTTCGGTTAAAGGGTGCTTGAAACGGAGGAAGCAGATGATGGAATTGTCTTCTTGTGGTGGTTTTTGTGTTTTGTTTTAAACATGCAGTCTTTCTGGGCTTGTACATCAGAGTGCTTGTTTTGCTCCCAGTTTACCTCCACCACACACACTCAGGTGACCCACTGGTAAAGTTCTGCATAATTACAGTAAACTCTACACCTAACTACACAAACTATTAGGGTGGAAAGACAGCACACTCCAAAAATTTAGGATACCCATCCTAGAAAACATTTAATTTCAGAAAGACATTTGCAAACAGCATGTTTATCTTCCTTTACACCTTGATTTGCTTAAATATAGAAGATTACAGCAGGTATGTTCTTAACACTGAATGAAAACTTTTCACTAGGAAATGCTGAGCAAAAAGTGAGTGCTAAAGAAACCAAATAACCATGTTTTTACGCCGGGCAACTGGTCAATTTGTAAACATGTGAATTGCAAACTGTGCACTTTTTTGAATGTTACAGCAAGTTTCTCTAAGTGTTGGAAGCTATAGAAATAACAGGACATTGAAAGCCAGATGACACAGAGACCTTAATCCAGGGCTCTTAGCATTCAAACAGAAACCTCAAGTAGTACATAGGGCGGACAAGGTGACACTTCCTCACAATGTTTTGCTGAATTCGGCTAACTCAGGGATGGGGAATATGTAGCCTGCCAGATGTAGTTGGACTTCATTTTCCATCCCCTGTCCCCACAAATGTCTATGTTGACTGGTGCTCATGGGAGTTGTAGTCCAACAGCATCTCTGGAAGAACACACACTCCCCACACCTACCTTACATGGAGAAGAGCCAAGAAAGAAGCAGTCAGCATGGATTCTGTTGCAGATACCAAGGCCTGGTGCGCAAAGGCTGCTGGCCACAGCACAGACAGACAGATCATTCAGGGATATTCGCAGGCATAAAGTGTGATTCTAAATCCCGGATGTGTGCATGAAAAGGGAGAGCTTTCAAATGCCTCGGACAACTCTCCAGCCCATGCACCTTCTAAGCAAAAGGGAAATGTTCAAGAGTATCAATAGCCCCAAGTGGCTGCGGTTCTTTGTGGTCAGTGCTCCTCCTATTTGCTTCTGGGGCATAAAAGAAAAGCCACAGTCGTGCGGGGAAGTTCTCCTGCTCAAGCCACACTGGAGCCTAGGGGAAATGGCAACCCAACTTCTGTCCAAATCCCCCTTATTTTGAGGGGGCCAGGCACAGGTGAAACTCACTGGAGGACTGTGCATGGAGAGACTAGCTACAAAACAACAGTAGCAATAGCTATTCTTGAAAGTTAACCAAGAGGTTCCCACACATGCCGTGGCTCTCTTTTCTTTAGGAAAAAAGGCCATGTAGGTGCCTGGCTGTTCTGCAATTTGCATACATAATGTCTTCTGCTCATGTTGTTGTAGTTGTTAGTCGCAAAGCCGTGCCTGACCCATCACAACCCCATGGACAACATTCCTCCAGGCTCTCCTGTCCTCCATCATTACTTAGAGTCCACCCAAGCTCACACCCACTGGCTCCATCCAGACTTCTGCTCATACATGGATGCAAACACTTGGCCGTGCAGATTTAATGGACTATGGTCTCCAAGTCTGGCTTTTGTTGCATATATTTAACTATGTACCTATAGCCCAAGCACAATGACCATACGACAAAAAAGATGGGGAGTGGGAAAGGATGGTGAGCATGACTGGCCTATTCTGCTGTAATCAGTAGGTTGCTTGCGCAATGCATTAGTATTAATTTGGACCAGTGCATTGTATAGAAAGTGCACAGTGACGGGTCTTGAACACTGTGTTGTGGGAGCCAAAGAGCCACTTGGGTAAGGTTCACCATGACCTCGAAGGGAATCTTCAGAACGTCCCTTCATGCAGAGCCACACAATGCAATGATATTTTTCTCCAGATACCTCCAGATGTTTGTGCGTGTGGATTTGTAGGGAGGGAAGATAAGGGGCTGTGTTAGGAATGGGAAAATCAGGATAGTGCAGGCTTAAAAGGCTGCTAGGTCAAACTTGGCCCTTGCAATATGGAGGGTGGAGCAAAAAGGAAAAAAAATATTTAACCACATACGCACTTTTGAGAAAGGTGTGAAAAATGCATGCTTTTGAAAAATGTGCACCACTATGCTTTAGACAGTGGGAGAAATTGTGCACATTTCAAAAATTTGGAATCATACACATAAAACAGGGAATCAACCAAGCAAAATGTACAATCTGATATGGAGTTGTGCTGGAATGAGCTTTGAGATGGAACAACGCACAATCTGAGTTTTGCCAGTTTACACTTCGGTAGCTATAGTTTAACTATGCATTGTTAACTATGGACAAGCCAGGAGAACATGGGGGTTTTTGTTGAGTTAAGAACCTGTAGTTAAAACCACAGTGCAGGGCTCACATGTAACAACAAGCCACAATTCAACAACAATCCATATGAAACCTCTGCTCTGGATTATTATGTACAACCCTACCACTTCAAACAGGAAATAATATCAAGTTTTCCTTTCAAAGCATGTTTTAAATTTTGAAAAAATAAGCGCTAAGGAGAATGCCAAATTGATTAGAGTTGAATGGGCTAAAGATCAGTCTTTCTGTCTACAGGCCATGATCAGTGTGACCTTTCCGGGCTCTCCTTGCAGCTACGGAAATCAATTCTTCCCAATCTGTTACAGCACCTCTCCTTTTTTTATCATGAGAACAATATCACAGGCGAAACTCAGTATTTTTATGTTTTCACAGCTTGCAGTAAAACTTTAACAAAATACAATGTTTTTATAATTCAAATAAGCAATATTTTATACCAAATACACAATCCTATGAAATGTAGCTTACCATCTCATAAAACATGAATAAACCAGGGAGTCTTAGAATATGCTGCTGTTGGATAACAGCACACTAACCTACACACACACACACACACACACACACAGACACATGGGAAAAGGTTGCACTGGCCACATAGTTTTGCTAAACACTTAACAATACAGAGATACAAATTTCACACAAATTAATTTTTTGCTTTCCCAGTTTCACAGTTGAAACATAAAATGCTCCGACCTGATCATTGTCATATCAAATATATAACTTGCATTCTAATTGCCCTGAAGTTGACTTTAACAAAATACTCTGCATTTTAAAACCATCATCTGTATGAAACTATATTCCTTTAGATGTGAAAAAATATTGCGCATTTCACGGCTCCCAACCTAAGCTCCTTGCGTCTGAAGCAAGGCACCTTGGCTACCATCAGCAATCAGCTCTGTCGATGTGAGCTGATTACTTCTACGGCCAACAACGGTGGACGAAAGCGCTCTGTGTATGCTCTGAAGTGCCGATGCCAGGAATGGGAGCCCCTTGTGTGTTTAGGGCTCTACATCACAGCCTTTGTCTTTTGGCAGGACACACAGGACATCTTGTTCATCTTTTGCACAAAAATCCTTTCAAAGGATTCCAAACCATTCTACAGAATGCTGACATTGAGAAAGAGAAAGGCTACTTCCTGGGTAGTCTAATATAACAATGTCTGTCAGGCAGTTGTAGTCCACACCAGGGCTATGGTCGGACAACGGGGAACACACATGCAACATGGGGCACTGCTCATGCATTTCCATGTGCTGAAAACCCGGACGTCAGGATGCAGCTCTAGTTCTCTTTCTTACTACCAATCGTCTGAGGCGTGTGCAGAGAGAGACGAGAGATGGACTGCATCCAGCACTCCTCTCTTCCTTCCCCCCAAGTGGAAAATCGGCAATACTGAAACCCAATTACATACAGCCCCAGTTTCTGGACTAAGCTTTAATTCCAAGGAAATCAGCATGCTCAGACTTCTACCTTGCAACAGACAAAGAAATCTAAGGGTATTTCAGGCCTACATATAATGGCACAGTTGTTCCTAAGCAAGGAAGTCTGGGAGCTGTAGGTCCGTGAGAAGAAGACTCACAAAGAACCATACAGTTCTCCCAAGAGAACTTGGGGGCCTTCCAACCAGTTTCAAAGTGATTGACTGATGTCTGCTGTACGTAAATCTTGTGTAAGAGCATACCCTAAAGGGCAAAGATGCAGGGCTCCAGTCTTGGAGGCTGTGTCCTAACCTTAGCCCTGACAAACTCTTGTGAGCAGGTAAGAAGTCAAGGTGGCTGCAGGGTGGAGTTCCTCTTTTCTCACCCCATGGGGCTTCCAACTTCCAGCCGGCCTCATTGCTGGTCAGGCGTCCACTTCTCATTGGCAACAAATTTGGGTGCCAAGAGGCTGGCAGTTCCTTTGGATTCTCACCACGCCACTGCTGAGAAGAGCCAAGCAATTTAAGAACTATAATGCTGTGACAAACCTTCCTAGAACAGAGCTTTGGATACTCTTTCCCAGTCTTTCTGCCCTGGGAAGCTGTCCAGGGACCACAAGACTGTTCTCCATGGGCTGTGCCCTTGAGGCTCATAAGCCCCCAGACTTGGGGGCTTTGGAGCTGCCAGCGCAGAGTGGGGAGAGTGGAGTACAATCTTGGCCTCCCCATGTCTCTTGCTCTGCCTTGTAGCTAGTTTTGGCCATTTAGCTGCAGTGGATGGGGGAAGGAAAGGGGCTGGAGAACCACCAGGAACCCTTGCATCCTGGCAGCCCCACACTCTGCCCCTCCCCAGCTCTCTAATGCCCCCTTTACCACCTCTGAGGCTGAGTTTCTACGTTGGAAAGGGGTACTGAGGGGGAAGCAGATCGAAGCATGGATTCCCAGCTGCAAGGCTGGAGTGCTAGTTCTGCCCTTGGAACTGGGCAGCCAAGTTATTCTAGGGGCTCCCAGACAGGGCTGGGCAGCCATACGATCCCCAGCTAAGTCACAAAGGTAATCAACGATACAAAAGCTCAAGATAAAGAAAAGAAAAAGATGCTTACGACTGAAAGTCCAGAAGTAATAAAACACTAAAATAGGCAAACAAAAGCAAAGAAGGAAAAAGGGAAATTGTTTCCTTCAAAATAGGGATTTTTGTTGTGTGTGATTTTTAAACTGAACTGGGTGGAAATATCTAATTTAAAATTTAAAAAATTAAATCTCTGTTGAATTTCAGAAGTAAGTATCTGAAAACATGTTGATGAATTCAGAAGACACTCAATACACACAAAGGTCTGGAAACTTCATCTCGTAGACTGGGATGGACTGGTAACGAGCATGTCCTGTGGTGATGGTCAGCGTTCCAGAAGGACTAGGCGGAGGCCTGGAGAAGATGACATGCAAAATGGAAGCAATGTTTTTTAGGCTTCAGTGGCCTGCCCACACTTTTATTTATCTTGGTTTTGTATGTTTAAGGGTGTTGTGTGTGTGTGTGTGGGGGGGTACTGATGAGCCAAACAAGCTGCTCATGTAATGATTCACATCATTGTATTATTTACCACCTGAGAGATTGAGCTAGTGCACAACCCTTTAAAACTAGCCAATGAAACAGCCTAGCATTAAGACCACCGCATCATTTAAAAGGTGCACCTTTGCAAGCTTTCTGTTAAGCCGAGAGGATGGAGGAAGCACATGCCGCAGTGAGGGGGAAATACAGGAGGAAGCCCTTCTCGTGCAGCCTCCTCCTACAGCTCCAATTTAGCCTCTTAAAGCGTGCCATTTCAACCTATTCGTGTCTTTAGGGCACAGCCCTATACATGCTTAGCCAGAAAAAAGTCCTACAAGACTCAGCATTCCCCATCAGCCACTTTAATTGCTTTGCATTATTATCCATAGCCTGAATGGGCATTTAGCAGGCAAAGTGTGTTATCAATGCTATAACTAACTCTAGCAGAAACCTGGAATAATCTGCTACATGTGTTTCCATGCTTGGGAGAACGCAGCTCAGGAAAACTTACCGAACCGTCCGCTCCAATATCTGTGCCAGTCGGTCATGTAGCAAGTTTGCCTGCAGAAAGGAAAGATTGGAAATTGCTGTGATTTGCTGACCAACGGCTGTACCCCCTCTGCCAAATTAGCCTGGACAACAGAGAGCTTGCAATACTGATATCGCCTTATCAAGCACCCCTTGATGCATGGAAGGTGCATAATGCAATTACCAGACAGTAATTAATTAATGACATGCCTCCGTCATAGGAAGGGCATTATGGATTTTGCTCCCAAGATTACATCCTTGGGAAAGATGGCATTTCTGTGCAGCTTTTTCACACCAAAGGGAGAGTCTGTTAGCTGTAAACTTCAATGGACTGCTAAGTCGGAGGATTTCCAGTACTGGGTGCTATGGAAATATAATATATAGATAGATGAAAGAAAGAAAGAAAAGTCACTGAGTGCTATTCTGTATAAGACTTGATGTGCTGTGTCTGCTTTTCAGAGGACTGCATGGGGACCAATTTCCCTCCTGCTTATCCAGTATACAAGAACTAGGTGGCACTGATGCAATAGTGGAATAGCGCAATGACACAAGTGGGAAAGTACGTTTTCTTTTGCTTTTACAAATGGTTATCTCCACTTCAAAATGCTCCTAAGAAAGCATCAGCAAACTTGGCCATGGAATATTAAAGAATTAATGATAAATTTGGTATCCACAGCAAAACTGTTCATAGCAAAGAATCGGAAGGAGAAATAGGATCTCAAATTAAGTTGACATGTGAGAGAAAAGTGAAAAAAAAGTTGGTAAAGAATGATTTTAACAATATATGGGATAGGTTTCTTGAGCAAGTATTAATAAAAGGGGAGGGTAATAAACCCCTAAAGGCTACTTTGCAATTTTGGATGGAAGGGGGCATCTCAGAAAGAGTGAGAAAATGAAGGCGAAAAAAAAAAGGTGGTAAGCCGGGCAGCCATGGTCCCAGTGGAGGGGTGCACTCAGGGTGACGTCTGTTTACAAAAAAATGTGTTTATCTTTATGTTATGATATCTGTATCTTATAAAAAATTAAAAATTGAAAAGCAAACTTGGCTGATTTATTTATTTATTTATTTATTTATTTATTTAGGGGGCTTATATGCCGCCCCATTCGCCGAAATAAATAAATAAACACAATATAAAAATAATACCACATCACTGCTTAGTCCTAACTTGGACCATTCAAGATGAAGTAGGAGGGCCACCTAACAATGGAAATATGTTTGGTAGTGTGGCTTTAACGGTGTACTTCCTTCCGTAGAAGGTGCTGCCCAGCTTCATTGTCCTTCCTTCATCCTTCTCTCCTCTCTTCTGCAATATTTTCCAAATTCCTCCCAAAATGTTGGTTTACCTTGCTGTTGTACATGAAGACAAGGGTCTTTCTCTGAGCAGGAAAAAGCACAGACTAAAAATTCACACTCTGGTCATCACAGATTTTGTGGGAAATGGACAATTTCAGAAGGGCACTTTTCAAAACACAAACACGCTCTTGGGAAAATGCAAACATTTCTTGAGAACTGGGCTTCTTCTTGTGTTAGTTTTTGCAAATAGGACATGTTTGCATGATTTGGAGACAGGAAAGAAATCTTCATACAGCCTCATGTCTGCCTTCTATCTTGGCCATAGCAGGCGCCCCTCTCTAGTTCCTGTAATCCAATTTACCAACAGATAATTCCTGTGGTATATTTGTGAAATGTTCAACAAACCAGTATGAACATGTATCAGAGAGTCTATTGTTACTAATGAGGTCTGGCAAACTTATCATTTTATACTTAAACTATTGTTTTTAAACTAAAACAAAGCCACACAAAGTTGCACTTTGGGTTGTGGACTGTCTTTCAATACTCACTTTAGTTTCACACTGTGCAGCAATTTCTTCAAAAGGAGCCTTCTGGAATTTTTCAATCACCAGTCGCCTCTTCTTTTCCTTCTCTTGTTCATCAAGCCCATTGTTATCTTTTGAAAGATTGAAATAAGAATAGTAAAGAGAATAGAAAGAAGTATAAGAAAGAGACATTCTTTAAAGCGGCTAAAAACCTCCGTGTAACAACCAGCATCAATGGAGCAAAGCAAAGAGAAACTTCTATAAGAAGTAAACTATCCATCCAGTGAGAAGTCAAGTATTTCACTTCTAAGTCACTATGAGAACAACCTACTGTTTGAAAATAGAGGATGGAATGCTGGGAATTGTTTTGGAACACCAGCAAGAGAAAGCAAGGAGTTCACATTTTCACACTGCCTTTTCAGCTTTACTACATGGCCACTTTTTAACTACTGGGCCACAGTGACCATACATGCCCTAATATTTTCTCAGCTAGGACTTAAACTCTTTTGTTAACCCTTTCCTTGACACCAGCATGCAATAAACCAGCAACAAAGAATAAAAACACTCCGGCCTCTAAAATCGAAGTCAGACTAGCAGCACTGAGAGTAAGGTGACCCAAAAGCAGCGAAGCTGTTCTTCAACCATTTGGGAGCATTAAAGAAGAGTCTTCACCTAGCACCAAAACAATAGTCAGTAGTTTCTATTACACCAAGAATGGTGGGCAGTTTTCTGAATGTGGAAATGCCATGTATTTTACCTATAGCCTGCTTCAAGGTTTCAAAGGTGATCTCCTCAGTGCTATTCACCTAAAGAAACAACAGTGATAGAGAAGGCGAAGTAAAATGAATAAGAAGCCAGCCATCAGCCATCTCAAGATGCTCAAATGCTTTCTGGTTGCAAAGAAGCCCTTGCACACACTTTCCTTGGGTGTTTTCCCTGTTAAAAAGTCTTTCAATATGAAAGATGTTGGAAAAGGGGAACACAATCCCAACTACCACATTCGATGCTCTTCCTGTGTTAACATTCACCTTATGTTAAACGGAATATTAGCCATTTCGCTAAATAGAATCTCTATGTAATGAAGTAATAACCCCCATCAGAATAAAATGTATGTAGCTAGTATGTCAGATGATGTTGAGAACATCCAGCCTGGAACATAATATTGCCTTCATATTCTGCATCCATACAGCATGTGGTTCTCACAGAATTTGCACGAAGTGTGCAATCACCACATGCTTTGGGGTGCAAATTGGCACAAATCCTACGATCTTATGCAAACTGTACTAGATCCACGTGTGTTTCGGGGGCTGATTTATGCAAAGCACACAAAATACCATGTTTTGCACAAACTGCATGAGTTTATGCCATTTGCACAATTTGTGCAAATTTCCATAGTGTTTTAAAAGTAATGCACAAACTCCAGTGAATCTTTGAGATGGAAGCCCATAGAAAAATCCTGGCTTGGCTTCCTTCCAGTCACTGGACTGGATGTTGTGTCAAATTCAAATAAATCAGACTTCCTGGTGTCAGTACATACTTGTTTATATATCCCACAGAAATACCGAGGAAGGTATTAGCACAGACATATTGACCAATGCATAAAAGGGTCGTGGAACATATTTTCCCAATTCACTGCAATGCCTTCAATCACCTCCACCAACAACACGGTAAAAACATGGATGTTGTGTTGGCGCTAGAGTGACAATACTAGCAGGCAAATACAGCAAAACTGATCACTGATGGATCAGAGTGTTTGCCTGAAGATTCAGTGTGCTCTCCAAAGAACCTCAGTGTCTTTTGACATTTTTTCCCCCACTGAAAAGGCAAATGTAGTGATGAAGCTTGCCAGAAAAACACTGTGTGCTCCAGGAACAATCGTCACCTACAGTGGCAGTGACGGTCTGCACATGGGTCAGGGGCAGGTGGGCAGGGTGTTGAATGCGTTCTATGACTATATGTAGGGATGGGGGAGGAATCGGTCCAGGGTTGGAAATCCACTGGGTCCTCCTGCTCTGGCTCCCCAGGTCCTGGGCCACTTCAGGGCAACCCAGTTCGCGCGCCCAGTCAGTCTGCCCAGTGTTCACAGGACAGCCAGGAACAGCGGCTGTGTGAATGGCTAAAACTGGTGCCCAAAAAGGTCTGCGTGCCAAAGGGTTGCCAGGAAAGCACACTGGCCAAGACCACTGCACAACCAAAGAGGCTGCAGCCGCCCTGGAAGAGGTTGCTGGCAGCCAGCACATCTGGGCTGCAGGAGCATTCACGGGCTTTCCCTTGGCTCAGCTCATTTTGGGTTGAGCCCAGGAAAAGCCCGCAGCTGCTTGGAAGGGTGGATGCTGATCTGGGTCGTCTCAGCCTTGATGATGTGCTCCCTGGCCACACACCAACGCACACCAGTGAGGCACAACAGCCTGGCCAGTACTCTGGGAGAGACGGCTCCCTGCCCTACATGGCAGCATGCTGCAGACTGACCAGAACATGCGCACAGGTATTCTCCAGGTGAATTGCTTTGCTTTTTCCTCAAAGGCAGGCAAGCTAGAAGCCACTAAAGAACACAGAGAACTGTGTGCGCCTTCCTCTCACGCACCGAAATGCTACCTACCTTTTCCTCCAGGCTGCAACCCGGCAGAATGTCTGCCTGAATCGACAAGGTGTCCATGAGACTCTTCCTCCTGGATAGCCTGTCTTCATCTGGATGACAAGAGCAACATATCCTAGGCACGTATCCTATTAGATTCCCATTTGCTTTTTCCAAAATCGCAATGAGCAAAATATATTGGCAGTACCTAGCAGTATTTATTTATCTATATTTATAGGCCACCTACAATACAATTGCCAAGACCCTCCTGTACCTAGTGGTAGCGGCAGATACTGGGACGTGCCCAAGAAAGATGGGGGAACTGGCTGTGTTCTGAGGAAGATGACATTACAGACAATAGAAAGTTGAGGCCGAGAGTAGCATGTGGAAAGGTGTCCAATAAGATCATGGCTATGCTGAGTAAGGAATGTATGAGAAATCTGGTTTTTGATGAGGATTTTACCCAATCTGTACCTTCCAGAGCAGAGTGACACTGGGAGCAATGACTGAAAGAGGTGATGGGCTCTCCCACACCAGGGGCATTCAAGATGCAGCTGGGCAGCCCTCTCGGAGGGATGGTTTAACCTGGAGTCCTGCACTGACCCTCTGGCCCCTTCCAAAGTTTCTATTCTATGATTCCATGAATCTATGATTCCAGATATTGCTGCTGTTACATTTCTATATTACCAACAGACAAAGCTCTCTGGGCGAGAGAGAGCTTCAAAACATTGTAAGTCACCCATTCAGATTTCAACCAGGCCTTACCCTGCTTCGCTTCCAAGATTAGGCAGGATCAGGCACTTCAGGCTAATCTGGTATAACTGTCAGTGAATTTCTGAGATTGTAATATGACTTGTGGACCAAAATAATAATAATAATAAAAAAACACCCAACAGCATGTGTGCATTTCAAAAGTGCACACATTCCAAAAATGGGCACACTTTAAGGGACACCTTTGGAAAAGTCTGCAAAGAAACAGAATAGGATCGGGAACGGGAATCGGAATGGGAACAGGAATGAGAAAATCTCTTAATCTGAGAGTTTGAAGTTGGCATTTGAAGGCGCAAAAAGAGTGAAAAGGAGTGATGTATAATTCTGCAGTGTCAAAAAGCAGAACCTAATAGCTTTAGTTCCATCTACTGCTGGCACAGAACCCCTATTAGATCACCCCAAGGGAAATACGGCCCCTTATTGTGACTGTGAAACCCCAGAGAAGGAGCTGTAGCAGAAGCACCTGGCAGCTCATGCTCTGGCGACCCCATTACAGGTATTGCAAGCTGCTTTTTGGTACAGAAGCTTCCAAGCTGGCTGACAAAAGTGAAAAACACCAATCAGAGTGCAAAACTCTTAAAAGTACAGCAAGCCAGCAGTTAAAGAAGAAACCACTGGCAAAAGCAGAAAAGGACAAAAAAAAAAAAAAGCGCAACATCCAGAGCAAACTATCCATGAGAAGGACTGCCATTTTTCAATCTGACACCTCAAAGCTGACAAAGCAGGCACCAAGCGGGCATCCCTGGGAAGGAGCTCCATCCTGTGGGACCACCACTAGAAAGGCCCTGGGCCTGTTTGCATGACCATGGTGGCGGTGGTGGCATTAGCATAAGTATCCTCAGCGGCGTGGCTTCCCGTGTCATGCAAACATGGTCAGGGTGGTTAACAAGCCATCCAAGAATCCCACGGTTGCCCATGGCTACTGTGTGCCTTGTTAACCATAGCAACAAGCCTTCTGACTATGAGAGGAAAGCGGTTGTGCTCACCTCCTCCCCACAGCTTGCGATCTGCACAGGCAGGGTGGTTAATAAGGCTTAGCAATCACCCTGCAAGCGTGCGAACAGAATCCTTGTCTCCAGTTCCCACTCTCTGAAGGGCTGCCTCTGAAACTTATAAGAAGTTGGCAGTTCTTCAGACACTCTGGTCCCAAACCTTCAGGGACTTTCCAAGCCAATGCAAGCACCCTGAATTGTGAATAAATACAGTGCTCCAACGGGCTAATTCCTATCAGTCGCTGCCATATTCTGATAAATATCAAAAAGGTGCAGTATTGGGAGTTACAGTGCGAAGAAGCGAGAGCTACCATTGCATAGGCTGCAGGAAACAGGAAGGAAAACGGATACAGCACTGGCACTTCCTATCTAGGAGAACGAGGCTTATTTGCTGCCTACAGTTCCTAAATAGCACAGGGGAAAGCTACACAGAGGATACGCAGCTATGGTCTCAATTTACCTTTGGACTTGCGCCTGCATTTATGAGGCTTTTTGCCAGATGGAAATAGAGCTAAATTTCAGGAGATACATAACAATGAAAACAAAAGCTTTAGGATGGTATACCGGCCAGAAAAATCAGAAAACAGACAAGAGAAAAGTGATAAACATTTTGCCAGATGCCAAAGAATTGGATGATCCAAGCAGGGCTCTGGATTACAGCTTCTTTGCTGCGGTCTACCCATATTTGAACTGCTGACATAGCAAGCGGTGAGGAAGCAACTGGCGTTTTTGCAAAACAAAAAATCCCCAAAGCATCCATTGGGCACGCCTCAAATTAGCTCAAGGCCTTTCTCCGGCACTGGAAACTGCCAAATGGTTTCCGTGACACACAGAAGGCTTCCACAAACAATGGAAACTGATGCAAACCAAGGATGAGTGAACACTTCTTAACATTCATAAGCATTATGCTCTGAAGTAGCTTTCAGATTATTAGCATGTGGAATTGCCTTTTATCAAGTCAGACACTTGGTTCATCTGCTTCTTGGCCCAAATGGCAGTGGTTGCTCAAGGTCTTAGATGCAAAGGTCTTTCTGAGCACTGGCACCAGGTGCCAGACACTCTGGAGTTTGGAAACTCTGAAGTACAAAGCACCTCCTATAACATGGAGCTACAAACCCTAGTCCTATGCACTTTCTTGGCATCTTTTTAAATTGGAAAGAATACATTTTATTTTTGCAGATCAAAATAGCATTCAGAGCTTTGGCTATTGACCAGTATAGAAATCATATCAAATCAATCAATGAATCTACAAATTCCAAATATTTTAAAGACCACCTGAAGGAGCAAGAGCCGCTTTCAGACTTACAAAACTGAAATTGCACTAATTAAATTTCTGCAAAGGGTGCCAGGCTTACATTGGCACTGGAAGGCTTGAGGGGTGGGCATTTCAGATACAAGTGTGTAATATTCTGTCATCAATAAAAGAATTGCATTTGCAACCTGTGTTGCCAGTCCAATTCGTGGGATACAATGAGGATTTGAGCAATGCCAACCAGGAGAGTATCCTACCCGAAGTTTGTAATAGAACAGCTCTACCCATGTAGGCCTATTTTTTAATCACTTGGAATAAAGACGGTATATGGATGTGCTGACTGGCAAGCAGCATATACAGAGAATTTGCCCTGACAGTGAATGATGCTCGCACTGGGTTCAGACAATAACCCCTGCTCAGGGGTTGAGTGTGCATTGGATGTGGGTTGTTGTCAGACCATGGGTTGTTGTGCATTTGTTATTTATTTGTTACCATTTGGTCTGAACTTAATCACAATAACCCATGAGCAGAACCTATGGTTCGTCGTTGGGCTGTAAAATGTGGGTTATTTGTGATTTAACAAACCATGTCTCGTATCGGCTGGATTCAGACAACACAATAATCTACATTCCAACAACAACCTACAGTTCAATACTCTACCCATATTCAGTCCATAAGGGTATGTTATGTTGTAAACTCAGCCTCTGTTTCGCAACTTAAAGAGATGGTGATAGCCGGCTACAGAAGAATGGAATTGTGGCTCAGTGGTAGAGCACGTGCCTTGTGAGTAGAAGACCTCCGGCTGGACTCCTGGCATCTCCAAGTAGCATAGAAAAGTTCTTTGTGAAGGCCTGAGGTATGTTCCCAGTTAGCATCAACAAAGCCAACGGTCTAACTCAGTATGAGGCAGCTTCTATGTTTCTAAATGTCTAAGTCATCGAGGACTTACCTGTCACAAGCGGCACATACGGCACGGACAACCTCTCCACAGAGTAGCCACTGCTGCCCAGTGATTCTGCCATCTGGTTGGTCAGAAAAAACAAGCTTGTTTCATCCTTCTCCAGGGACTTGGGTAGGCTTCAAAACATAATGTGCCATAGTTAATTTCTTATCATTATGGAAAGCATTATCTAAATCACCAAATAGCAGGCGGAAGAATCCAGCACAGTGAGGAATGAAAATGACAGTGAATTAATCACAGACTGAAATGGCTGTTCCTCATTTCTCCAACTCTAATATGATTTGCAACAATATTAGGCCGTGCTTAATAACTAGGCAGACTGCACTGCTATTCTGGGGAGTCAAAATCGAGGCTGATAGACAGTGTGCTTAAGGCAGGCTGAGCTAGACCCAAAGCAGTGAGCATGAAGGGGCAGCGCACTCGGGATAGTACAGATCCCACCATCTTCCCCTTCTGTCTCCCACTGAGTTTTGCCACCACTGCCAACTGGTTATATGTACTAGAGCTTGCATTGCCCTTCCTGCAGATGGTCCAGGCAGACTTCCTGCTCCAGAGGATCATGGAAGTGGGCTGCTCTTCCTCTGAGCATAAGTGGCCGCAGGTGGCCAGAGTAGAACACCCGGATGGAACGCATGGTAGGTGCTGTTACCCACCACTTACGTTCAGCTTTGCATTAAACATTCCAGGGTACAGAGCTGGAGGGTGGGGGACAGAGGGAAAGGGTCTAAAGTTCTGAGAACACCTGGGGATGAATGCAGAAGAGGGACACAGGACCTCATGATGACAGGCAACATCTCAACTGGCCATACATCCATTGATAAGGCAGGTGGCGGTGCGTTCCACAGCAGTTTCTCCCATTCCCAGCATTGTCCACATTGGGAACCCCGGTGCTATGGTCCTTCCTCTTCTTCCTCCCCTCCCTTTTAAGTCAAGAACATCACTGACCCTCATGTTATCAACTCTCAAATGTTTCATACTTGCACTTCTCTCTGAAAATCGTCTCCGGTAAAAAGTAGGGCGCCTCTACATTTCTGGTTTCAATGACCTGTAAGACAAGCAGAAAACCAACAGAAGATATGCAGATCTGAGCAAAGCAAATTCACTAGTTTGTTGATTTATATTATACAGTAAAATGAAAATGCAATTGTAATTAAATAAATACTTTACAAAGGCGGGCATTTTTTTTTTTCAGGAGGATCTTTTTTCAGGGATTCCCTTTGACCCAAATTCAATGGAGACTTCAAGGCTTTGCAGCGAGTTGTGTGCACTGAATTCAGCAGATGAACTTCTTCACTGGTGGTGGAAAAGTCACCATCCCTTGGAGGCTGAAAGCTCTTCCCGTTCCTTCACTCCAAAAGTGTCCATAATTCTATCCACAGTCTATTTTTCAGTCTTTCGGTTTTGTTTTAAATGTGTTATGTTTTCACACTGCTACTGGATCTCTCTCTCTCATATTCACTCTGTTTTAAACTTTAAAAGCTTTCACAGTAGGGTTTACTATGCTGTATTCTGGGTTTTTTAAATTTCTGTAAGGCAGGATTACTTTAAATTTCAAGTTAAGGCAGAATCTGATGGGAATTTATGTGTACGCAAAAGGCTACAATGTTTTGCTAGCCTTATTCAAATCATTGTTCCTCCAAAATCCCTTTGCAATGTTTTGCACAACTGACTTGCAGGTCTGCTTGTATGCAAATGTATTGCACACATGCAACATTGGAAGAATCCCAGTACCTTCGTAACATGCTGGCAAAAGGCAGGAACTGCAATCATCTGGCTTAGAAAGTTGAGGTATGCAGCCACCACTGCCATCACGCTGCAGCGATGGAACATGGGCAAGTTGTCTTCGTTAAGGATTGCAACGTCCTTCAATGAAAAAAGCAATGGTTGAAAATAACAACAAGAACTGGACTGCAGCCAATGCTAGACTAACTGGAATCCCATTCATTTCAATGGGCTGACTGTGAAATGGACTAACGCTAGATATAACCCAATGCTTGCAGGATCAGCACATTTTGTGATATAAATTCCCCGAGATCGGCAGCAGAAGCCCTCCTCCGGGAACCCTCCGGGAAAGATGTTAGGAGACAGAGTACCCGGAGGAGGGCCTTCTCTGCAGGGGCGCCTCGACTATGGAATGCGCTCCCCAGAGAGGTCCGCCTGGCACCAGAATATATGTTTTTCAGTGCCAGGTCAAGACCTTTTTATTTAATCAATATTTTAATATGTATTAATGGGAACTGGTTTTTATTGTTTGTATTTTACTAATTCGCAGCCAGAGTGGAATTGTCAATTTATCTATTTTATCTTGACCTATGTTGTAAGCCGTCCAGAGATGCAAGTAATGGATGGCATACAAATTTTATAAATAAATAAATAAATAAATAAATAAATAAATAAATAAATAAATAAATTCTTTTGGATGCAGAAGCGTTCCATCCAAGATTAAATGTTTAAAGGACTGGCGAAAGCACCTAGAAGGTCTCCAAGAGCCCTACCTGCAGTGCAATAGCCACTCTGATGAGGTCAATGACGACTTCTTCATTGGCTAATTCAATAGTGATGAGAGCCAAGGTCGTATACAGCAGCTCAAAGTTCTTCTGGATGTTGTCTTCCTCTTTACAGCCTAAATAGACATGTCTGTACAGCTGTTGCCCATGCTACAGAGTAGACAAAGGAGAGTTATCTTGAAATAGTGGGCAATTGGAAGACAACCAGGTTAAGATTTCATACTGGCTCTGCTTATTGGACCCAATGAGGAGTAATTGGGAATCTAAGAAGATCCCTTCTACTGATTCAGAACCCTGGTCCATTGAGCCCAGTACTGTCAACACTGACTGGCAGAGACTCCCGAGGGTTCCTGGAAAAACTGGGGGATTGAACCAAGTGGTCTACCACTCAGCTATAGCCTGTCTCCGTACAAAATTATCCTTCTACATATTCTACATATTGTCATGCAGTGTCCCTCTTTGGACAGGTAATGTTAGTGCAGTTCATCCTTCTCACTTTTCAAGGCTATGTCTTCTCTGTCGCTGCTCTCCTGTGAGCCTCATCAGACACGGAGAAGGCCAAGGTCTTTGAAAGAGGGCCTCATCACAGGGCAGCTGAGTTCTGGACTGTACAACATGGTGGAGATGTGGATGGTGGAGAAGCAGTTCTGACCAGGTCTTTGGTGACTTTTCGGCAGGCCTTTGGGCTTTGCAGGATGCCACTTCAAAGGGTCCTCTAAGTGTGGCTTTTCAGGGTGTGTGCCAGGGGCTCTTAAGGAGACAGAAAGCCAGAAAGTCCTGGTGGGTCACCAGAGTTCCCTGCAGAGTCTAGACACCTTAGATACTTAAAGCACTGGGGATACCTCATAAGTACCCATAGCTGCACTATGCAGTCAGCAGATTGCTCTGTCTGGCCCAGTCCAGCATACCCAGATTAGCTTTGGCTGTCCAGGACCTCAAGCAGGGATTTTTCCAGCTCTGCCACCAGGAATCTCTTTTCAAGCCAGAAGCAAAGATTAAACTCGGACCCTTCTACATGCCAATCGTGGGTTCCACCTCAAGGCCATAGGACCTTTTCACGGAGCTCTCACCCAACAGCTTGTGCCATCCCTTCCTTCCAGTATTTTGCTGCCTGTACATGGTGCTATTACCTTTTTGATGAAGTTCACATCTTGCCTTGAAATTTTGTCTCGTTTTATCTTTAGATCTGAAACATCAGGTATTATTCTGCACACAAACAAACAAACCAGTTGTTTAGTTTCTTAAAAGCAGCATTAATCATAACAATTGGTAAACAAGCTACTTCTCAGGGGGTGGGAGTGGAAAGCTCAGTGTGAAATATATTTAATCTATTCAGACATTTTTGAAGCAATTTCCATTTTAATTACACCCACGTTTAACAATGAGAACTGACTTGTTATTTCTAAAATAGGGAATCATAAGTAATTATGACTCAGTAAAAGGATACTTCATTTTATGTTTCACACAAACCCATTTTGCACAAAACAAAAATATAATTACAAGCTTAATTAAACCTGGAGTGATTTGGAAGAGCTGCTTAACATTTAGGGCAATACAGCTGGAAAACAAAATCATCTAGCCATTTCAGTGGCGACATTCTTGTAAATATTTCCTCTCTGCGGACAAACTGAACCACGAAAAATAGCAGAAAGGTGTTTGCAGTGAGTTGCATCCATGGATGACAGCCAGAACATGGTTTGTGAAAGCAGGTGTGTCCTTTATACATAACAATTTGTCATTTTTCGGTCGGTAAGCTAGATATGGGAAGGTTCTGAACCATGGTGCACACAGCTTGGGCAACTGTGTCTATTTTTACAGAAAGGCTTCAGAACCTAGGTCTTCAGGCCAAAACCTGGAACCTTGGCGGTTCCAATCCAGCCTTCCCAGTGTCCCAGGCAGCCACCCTCCTTCCCCAGTCCCACCTCCTTTCCTCCAACCATCAATCAGTTGGCAGTCTGCAGTTTTTTTCCCATTCAAAGGGCACCATCTTTAAATTCAGACAGAAAAAGTTTTACAACCCCCAGCATTCCTCCGTGAGTGGATGGAAAATAGCTGCTCTGTGAGAACATAAGCATCAGTGCAGTAGTTCCTACAGAGGACCTCTCGTACGCCTGCTTGTGCAGGGGATGTGGAACTGGAAGAATATTTTAGCATTTCGTTTCACTCATCTTCTGCAGTGATGTAGGGAGAGGCATACGCAGACCTTTTGTAGGCGGAGAGCCACTTCCGTATGTGAAGAGGCCGCTTTGGATCCAACCCACAGTATCTGCATGCTAGAGAAAACGAAAGGGGAAAGGGAAAGGGGTCTGCACTGCTGGCCCTCTCAGAGACAAAAGCACTCAGCTGGGGATGGGCAGCACCTTCACTGCTTCAGAATTCAGATAATTGCCCTCTGGGTACTCAAACGTTAATGCAAGGTTTAGAGTCGGCCTCTAGACTGGGACACATAGCAATGACACTACTGCCATGAGGAAGGTTGGAGAGTCCAACCTCTTTCAGCCCAAGGGCCAAATTCAATTTTAGAGAAGCTCTCAGAGGGCACACGCGGGTGGTAGGTAAAGCCAAAGGCAAAGAGGCAGGACAAAAACTACAAAAAAAAAAAAAAAACCCAGATAATTTTATCCTAGTGCTCTTACAGCCTCTCCCTGTTTTGGTAGGAATATAGGAAGCTATCTTATGTCAAGGTCATGTCCATCTAAATGGACCATGTAGATGCTCCATCCATGGACTGTGGTGACTCTGCAGGGTCTCTGTCTTCCCTAGCCCTAGCGGGAGATGCTGAAGATTGAACCTGGAGCCTTTTGCATGTGCTTCACTACTGAGCTATGGCCCTTCCCTTTCCTCGATAGAGAAGACAGGAGGGATAAAGGGGAATGAGGCGAGTGCCAGCATCCATTCCACCATGTCCTCAGGTTCTCCACTGCATCCCTTAAGCTGCTTGCATGTGAATGGGGCTTCCTAAGCATGGCTCTTGAAGGAATGTCATTAGGAGCTCAGCAGTCGGGCAGAAATCTGCTCTTTCTACATTTGCTACCTATTCAAGCATCTAGGGAACTCTGTTTTCTGCTGCTACGATCTGCTCTTCCATTTGGCCTCTTCAGAGGCCCCATTCGGTACAGACACCAACCGTATCCCTCTGAGCTTTGCTCTGTTGTCATGGCGGTCAATAAGGTTATGCAGTATTTCCAGGACCAGCTGTCTCAGCTCGCAGTCATCCATGAGTGAAGGAGACAGCAAAGGATCCAGAAACGGGGCAGGCAAAGCAGCAGCAATCGTCCTGGCGCTGTATCCTGTGGTCACCTGGTTGGTATCAAAGAGAAGGAAAGCTCTCCAAGGAAGAGGTTGCCTAAACACCACAATCTGAAGCATCATATTCCATGGCACCAACCTCTCTACCCAAATACGGTTCTCCTATTTCTTACATTTTCATCCTTCCCTTCCTCTGAGGAGCCTCAGGCTTCTCCCTCTGCTTCTGTCAGCCACACAGCTCAGCTTGATAGATTATGATTGTCCCAGGCCAGTCTTCATGGCCAAGAAGGGAGGTAAAGCCCAACCCAGCCAGCTGTAGTCCAATGCTCCAACCAGAACACCACAGCATGTGTGATAGGGCTGGGGGACAGGTGGCTCTAGAGTTGCGTGGCTCTTGGGAAGTGAGCCAAGCTGAAAAGAAGCCTGCAAGCGCTCATGGAACAAGAGCTGTGTAAGTGGCAACCTTCTTCTGCGTCAGGTGCAGCTGCCTCAAGAGCTGTTGCACGGGGCACAGAACGGGATGCAGCTTGCAGTCAGGTAGGGCTCACCAGGGATGGAGCACCGTGCGACAACCAGCAGCATCCCTCTCCTGCTCCGGGTGTAGCGGCCGCTGGAGATGCTCCTTGCACAGCACGTGCAGCTCAGCTCCTGCGAGCACCCCGTGAAAGTCGGGCATGCTTGCCAGGAAAATGGAACTGGGGCTGCTCCAAAGCAGGCTGGAGTCCAGGAAGCCTTGCCCTGGCAACCCAATAGATTCTCACCCCTAAACAGGTCCCTCGCATATCCTTATGCGGCTCTCTAGGTATCGTCCTGCAACGCCAATCGCTAGCCAATGGGGCCAATGCAAGAGTTGCAGTCCAAGAAAATCTGGGACCACGCATTCCCCATCCCGATAGCGCAAGACTTAGGAGTGCTAGTTAATAAGAAATCCCTATGTGCCACTGACAGCACATCAAAAGAAGAACAGGACGCTTTCCTTATTTGCAATACCTTTCCTTCCTGCAGACCTGCAGGCCATTCTCATTGATGACAGGTAAACAGCAGAGTAACTCTCTGCAAGTCAGCACTTGCCTTATGGAAAAGGTTACTCACCTTTCCTTGTACTTAAAGTTTAAAGCAATGGCTGCGATGACTGTTGTCTGTGGTGTAAAAAGGGCATTATTCCCCTAAGGAAAATCTGTTTCCTCCATGACAAGAAGCCTTACCATCAGTAATGATCTCAGCAACATAATCTGAATTTGCCTGGTTCCTGAATCCCTGAAGGCAAACAAGGAAAATCAGACAAGAAATGCACTTGAATCCAAGTTTCTCATGATATCAGCAAAAAGCAAAGATTAAAGCTTTGAATGGATCTCTGCCTTGAAACTAATTGGCTCAGAAACAAGTGGAGTTATTTTGCCCCACTTCACCTCACCTCACCTGCTCCACTCAAATCATGAAAAAGCTTCTTTCCATACCAGTCTACATTCGAATTAACTTGGTCCATCTTTTCCTCCTGTGAAACTATTATTCATCCCTTTCCTGCAAGCCTCTTTCTTCTTGCTTGGCAGACTTCCATTAATACCCTCATTTACTTTCGGCAAGGGGCGGCATAGAAATGTAATAATAATAATAATAATAATAATAATAATAATAATAATTTCCACCCCTTATCTATTTCCTCATCTAGCAACAGGAAGTGGAAAAAAATAAGCAGCAAGAGACAGAATATCCCCTTCAGGCAGGTCACAGGGCAAGCCAGGAACAGAAAATGCATGGCTGACCAACCTCCTTTCTGCCCATTCCTTGCTGCTGGAGCATTAACACTAGCTGATTAAGAAATGTAGGAGGGAACATGGCAGACTGAAAGATTAGAAATTGGCTGGCTGGCAGGAAAGGTCAGCAGAACAATTCCACTCAGGTTCAGAATAAAATCTGAGCTGGAGAAGATTTCTACAGGTGCAACCCTTATCTCATATTTGAAGCATGCACTATAAGCTTTTGAGAGTCCAATTTCCTAGTCTGGAATTACAAGTCCCAGAGCCATCTGTAGGCAAAACTTATATATTCTAAAAGGAAGCTTTGGTATATTCACAAACATTCGTACAGAACCCATCCCAAGAGCCTTGGAAAATAGGCTAATATTATTGCTCCATTATATATAAAGAGTGGCAGGAGGGCTTGAAGGGTTCCCATAAGGCTACACAGGGAATTTGTGTCTGATATGAAATTCTAACCAAGGGTCTTCCCCAGATGAAAGCACCTGTCCTTAAGCACTCTGCTACTCAGTTAATATTGATCAGCTGTCCCCTGTTTTATCGACAATTAAGATGCTAAAAAGGTCTATAACCTTCTCAATTCGTTTGGATACAGCATCCCTCTGTAAATTAGCTTACATAAGTAACTAGCAGATGGTGTTTTGGGAGGGATCCAAATTAATTCAGCTCAAGAGAGAGTGAGGCTGAATCTGATCAAGTGGTCTCCTTGCCCAGCATCCTCCTCCTAGTAGAGGGCAGCCCAAAGAATTCAGGAAGCAGATAACCAAGAAACGAGACCAACAGACACTCACTGTGGCTTATCCCAAAGAGTTTGCAGGGTGAGTTTCATTTTAGCCATCATGGCCATTACAGGGGTCTGTTCCTGTGTACACTGTGCAAAAGATAACTGGGCCAATGAAGCATCAAAAGTTACCATGTCCCAAGTAACTCTGCAAGTAAATAACCACGGGGTTCCTCAGAAATGTAGTGAATAAATTATCACTACAGATGGTTTGAATGTAGCGAAGAACAAATCCCTTTCCCACTGACAGCAGCTTCTTCCTGGCTGCTTTTTACATCCTTAGAGAGACACCACCCTGCTTGACTGAAGATGGCTGTAATTTTCCCCAGCATGGCTTTGTCTCTTGATCTGAAAATTGATTAGCACAGCGTGAAGCGGAGCGATTCTGAATTATTCAGCTGTTTTATCAGAAGTGCATACGTCAGTGCTGGTCTCCTCTGAGAAAAGTGGTATTTCTCTGAAACCCACAGAATCAATACGGCCTGCCGCGTTAGCCATGAAGTCTTATTTTTCCGGAAAGCTGATGCTCTTCTAGTCAACCACAGAAGGTTGCTACCCTATTTTGTAGCTGGACGGCTCCCTTATGAATTGTTGCAGAGGCAAATTAATTGTTAAGTAATCGGAAATCTTAGCACAGGAACAAGGGACTGGAAGGGGCCAAACAGGTCATCAGGCACAACCGTGAAAACAAGGAAAATGATATTTTTACCCTGCGGTGAAAAAAGAGGGCAGTCTTATGCTATAATTAAAATGTCTCTCAGGAGGTGCTCTTGAACATTTCCTAACATTGGACTGCAAATACCAGTCAGGCTGGGAAGATATGCAATACGACCAATGGAAAAATGGCTAGTCACCTACGGCGGGTACGACTCTCCAAGAGGGTGAGTAGATAAATAGAGATTTACACATCTAATTTAGCGCAGCATAGCAGGGCTTTGTTCAGTGCTGGATCTGCACGTCCACTGCCTGTGTTTCACCAGTGGGATGCCCCCACTGCCAGTGCAACAGAGGAAGCATGTGAATGAGCCAAACCCTGCTCTAAACGGAAGGCTCCTTTCGGGAAGCTTCACCAATCTGCTCTGGAAACAAATATTTCAGCTCCTTTCTGGTCACTCGGGCAATGCTGGACATTACCCATAGAATCCCGTGATATTTCTCTCATATTCTGGGGGATGGGGAAGGGGTTGGACAGGGTGAAAGTTGGCTGTATGTGTGTGGTTATGCATTTGCTCCATGGGAATCAGCACAAGGGGACTAAGAATGAAATTCTGCTTCTCCAAAGCCCATCTGCCCAATTCTCCCGGTGCCCCAAGGAGGGTTTTTAGGGAGAACAGGTATTCAGGGGACAGGATGAGCCCTTTCTTCTGTTGATGGTGCTCAGGAACTCCACCCCACTTTCATAGAAACACATTTTCCATTTAAAGTCCAAACTATGAAGTAATCTCAACAAACCCAAATTGGTTGGTGTCCAGCATATGTGATGTTGCCCCCAAAACTGGTACTTTCCCCATAATGAACATCATAATTTCAGATCGATGGTAGTCTGGCAGGTTGCTTCCAAAAAAGCCTATGTACAAACAAGGAAAAATACAGGTAGGGAATAAAGGAAAATGCTGGATTTTTCTCCCCAGATCTAAAACAAAACATTTCACCAACTTAAAAGCAAGATAAAACCCTTCATGCAACCTCTATGGGATTCTTCTAAAAATATTCAATTGTTTTCATAAATGTTTCCTGTCCATTCCAACAGTAATCCCTTCTCTACTCTTAGCTAGGCTTAGAGCTCCCAAGAGATCCTGGGTTACAACAGTGATGCTGGAACAGCTGGATCCCTTTTGGTTAGGGAAGATCAAATCCAATGAGATGAGGCCTCTTCAGTAGGCTGCCCTTTCCTAGCCTATTGAATGAGACCTTGATTTTATTTATTGATATTACTGCTTTATACTCATCTGACTTTCCACCAGAAAATGGCCCTGATCTTACTCTGTCAGAAGTATTGGGCTAGTCCTGTCAGGACTGTGGACAGATCCCTGTGCACTGGCTGGAACTCACTCAAGGGGAGCAGTTGACTCAGCAACATGCAGAGGCCACCTGAAGTTGTAAGACAATGGGACCATCTGGCTCCGCTGACAACTCTTCCCCCTCTGAGGAACTGCCTGTTTCTTATGGGAACATAGGCCAATTTTGCTGCCGTTAGGTTCTACGGGCTAGGGGCAGAGAAGGTTTCATCAAGGAAAATCTCTGAGCCCAAGCCGTCCAAGAAAGCCAAGAAATTCTTGGTCCCGGAGTCCACAGCCTCCTCCTCTCAGATTCTTCGCCTTAGCCCTCCTCCCTCTGGTGACTCCACTGTGGCTGGCATTGATTCTGCCATGCCACTAATTCCCAATGTGGCCCTCAGGACCAAGAATGCTTGTGTACCCCTTTTCTACTGCACATCAGTTTTCACTGACATGCTCTCTTTATCAGACTCACTGAAAGCATCACACATAATAAATTAAGAGACTATTCAAAAAGATTTCAGAACCCACAATATATAAATACTAGACTGAATCTAGCAGACCTTTTATACATCCTCTTTTTAGATTTTTTGGCATACAGCATAAATAAGAACCATTTCTCCAAGATATCATCCTTGAAATTATTGTGCAAAACACTCCTAATATGCAAAAGAATTGTCCTGATGAGCAATTGCTATACTTTCTCATGCCTTTAAGTGTTAGCTGGGATCCTTTCCATCATGAAATGGCAGCACCCATTAAGAAAATCCCTCCTGATTCACATTAATAACATAAGAAAGGTCCATGTAGGTCAATATTCTGTTCACACAGTTGTCAACCAGTCGCCTGTAAGAAGCTCACAAGTAGGATGTTGGTAAAGCTGCACCTTCCTGCCCATGCGCCCCACCTCCTGGTGTACCTAGGCATACTGCTGGAGGTGGCACATAGTCACCACGACTAGCAGTCCTCGTTAGCTTGCGCAAGAGTGCGCATGATGCACTGGGAAAGTTCTGTTTCTGTAAGAATCCCAAACCACAGAAAGGCACAGGAATCATGCAGTGAGGGGATCATGCCGTATACCCTGTGAGAGGTACTGGCTAAGAGTTCCTTCAAATGACTCACCAATGGTTTGAATAATAGAATTCTGGACAATTCTCTCATCGTTTTCTTTGGTGCATATGCTGAAGCTTGCACTGCTTACTGAGCTGTGCCTGTCACTTAATTCGAAGTCAACGCTGAAACGCAGATGCTTGAGTAATGTGTTAAACACCTCTAAGACTGTTGGACCTGTGCAGAAACCAACAATAATGGCTTTAACTTTGGAGAGGGAGGTGGGGAGAATTCAAGCAAACATCAGTCTAAGGCTGAAGAGCAATGGAGAGAATAAAATCTCAGCAGAACTGCTCTTCAAAATGCTCCACCTCCTGCCTTGTGGTTCAGAAGTTCGCTGGGTTGCAAGGGGTGAGGGGCGGGGGGTGCTTCTTTATGGCCAGGTCCTGTGCTCAACTTGAATATCTGGGTGGATACAAATCACGGCTCTTTGCCACACAAAATTCACAAGGCAGTAAGGGAAGAGGGACAGAGCAAACAGTTGCATGAGAATGACTTGTCCATCAGGAAGGGCAGGGACTTCGGCTTCTTCCATCCAGACATTGGAGCTCTCCTCTCCGAACTCTGAATTCTACTTGTAAAACAACCTGCTATTTAAAAAGAAGCTTCTGGTTGAGTAATTTTTTCCCAAATAGGTATATCCTAGAATAGAATATTATCCTATTCCTTTTTACCTTTAGATTGTGGTTTTATACACTGCTGCAGAGGTTGCTTGTTGGAACTTTCTTTTGCTTTAACAGAATACCTGCTTTTCACTTAACGTTCATTTTGGACCTCCAAAGATAGAAGACCGTTTCTAAGAAATTGTAGCAGCATGAGCAATTTTATACAATTATTCATTGTATTAGATTTATATCTCACCTTTTTTCTTTTAAAGAATCCAACGTGGCTTACTTCATTCTCCTCCTGCTGTTCTGTCTTATCCCCACAACAGCCCTGTGATATAGGCTTGACTGAGAGTCTGTGACTGGCCCAAAGTCACCCAGCTGGCTCCATGGCTGAGCAAGGACTAGCACCCAGATTGCCTGAGTCCCAGTCCTACACTCTTAACCACTACACAGTACTGCCTCTCTTGTTACCTGCCAGTCTCTGAAAAACACACACAGTTCTTGACTTTCTCCTTCACCAACCTTTTCCTGGCCTGTTATGGGACATTCATTCATTCATTTGTTATTTATATTTTATGTATATGCCGTCCCCTTGCTATATAGTCTCACAGAAATAAATACAATATAAATAACAAATTACAATTAAAACCTGCAAATACCCTGGCTGCACAATTAAAATCTATAAATATTAAACATTGTTAAAATTTTGTTTGAATAAAAAGGTCTTGGCCTGGCGCCGAAAAACAAATAATGACGGCGCCAGGCGGACCTTTCTGGGGAGCACATTCCACACACCACCTAGTGCTAACACTGCTGTGTCCAAGATTCCTAGGCTGAAAAAGCTAAAACAGTCCATCAGCTCCAGTAATGTCAATCGGATCATTCAGTTACAACATTAAATGAGGAATGACAAAAATATTCAATTCCCACAGGCCTTTGTGCCCTTCCAAACAATGGCATCATTTGTTCACAATAACTTGTGTGTAGGTTCAGTATACGCTATTGTTAGTGTTCCCCTAAGTGCCGACTGACCAACACACACATGCTGTGTTGGCCTATTGTCCATTGTTCACTCCCATTTGGAAGCACCAACCAGATATTTTTGGTTGTTCCCAGTTCAACTGTCAGCCAGGCAAATTGGCTGAATTGCACAGTAATTGGCGTAACTTTCCAAAGATCAGTCAGTGGTTGATCCTTTTCTGTTTCCCAAAAAATCTTAGAATACTTTCGCAAACCTTCTGGGTTGTTGACTATGCTTAGCTGCAACAGTCAATCTCTAATTTTTACTTCAGGTATTGAAAATCATAGATACTCACTGAAGCCTGTTTTTTAAAATTTATACGAAAAACTGCTTTATCAAATGCAGATAATCTAGAAAGCTAGTGTTTATTATCAACAATACATGTAAACAAGCATAAAAACAAAAATGTTATCAAAATAAATATAACAACTTTACTCAACCAAAGTTTGGGATAGAAATAATCTGAGTAACAATTGATATGAGATCTCTGAAACATTGTTTGACCAGATTGAGTATTTTCCAGAAAGCCATTTTTACGTCTTCTTTTATAATTTTCTTATGTCTAATATTTTGCATAACCCATACCTCTTTATTAACAGCTATTATTACAAAGAACAGGTTTGAGTGTTGGAAATAATTAAGCAAGCAAAACAGAGAATCTGGGATCAACTACAACTGAAAAAGGTTATTAATAATGTTTTCCTACTATTCCCAATATCTAATTGCTCTACTACAGTATCCTTCAGCTGGGTGCCTTCCAGACAATACCCAGGCTCTCAATAATTGGCCATGCTGGCTGGGATTGATGGGAGTTGTAATCCAAAATACCTGATGATGGGGTGTCAGGCCTGGAAAAGCTAATCAACTACATTAGGCATTTGTGTCACCTTTACTTTAAATATAGAAGGATGCTTTAGAGCACCTTCAAATCATCATGCAGTTTCATTAGACATGTGAAAAAAACAACAAATGTAAAAAAAAAATTCTATGCTTTACAGAAAGACTGTCGGATTCGATAGTACTTCTCTTTCGAATGGGTCTATGTTGCTGCAGGGAGCAGGTGTGCAACTCGTGCCTATGTCACTTATCACATCCCTTCGTGACCGTGTGCTGATGGAACATGCAAGCACAACCTATGTGTGCAAATCCCATGTGTGCAGGGCAAAAAATTCACTTGTTTTCCCCAGGAAAATCTAGATTCTGCAGCTGTCATAACAGACAAGCTGTATTTGCATTCCTGAAAGACGCTACGGAATCTGCGGAAGTGTCCGAAGTGCAGCAAGCACAGGCCAGATCTGAGAAATAACGTCCAGTCCTGCAGAGCATCTTGGACTCCATGCAACTCACCTATGGAGCCTTTGGTGGCGATGGCGACTGCCTGCAAAAGGGCCTGGATGATGCCTGCTCGGACGCGGGGGAAATCCCTTCTCCGAGCATCAAGATGTGCCAAGATTTCCTGTATCACGTGATGGGAATATTGTGCCTAGGAATTAAAAATACCTCTTAGTTTCTATTGGAAAATAAAAGGCAGATCACAAAACCATTCTGTTCTTCTATTTTCCTTCAGCCGTTTGCATCCCGTTTTCCCGACAACCTGCCTGAAGAGGGGTCGGTCTGTGATGAGTCTTTCCCCCACTTGCTCCTATGGTTAGGCCCTTTATAATATTTACCAGGGCTAATATATTTTTAAACCATATTAACACAATATCAACATGATAGGAAGCAATCAGCCTCAGAAAATGGCCCAAAAGGATTCAGCAAAATTCAGGAGGAAGTGAACTGCAGAGCAAGACCTCCTCATTTGATGTTGATGTGCTAAGGAAAAGTGAGGAATCCAATGGAATGAGTTCTTCCATAAACTGTTCTAGACTCAGGCCATTAATATAAAGAGGGCTGGTCACACCTTCAAGAACATCTCCCACTTCTCAGACATTTTGTTTGTTTCGGACATAAAGTTAGAGCAAAAAAGACCCCACCTGTATAGAATACATGATGATTTTGAAAATGGAGACAGCAAATTCATTGGGATCCCAGAGTCTGTGATGGTCTAAATGTCTAACAAAATGAAAGGATAATATAATAAATTCCATGAAATTCCATATCCTCACCCTACCTTGCAAAATGAAAGCTTGTCATTATTGTTGGAAACTCATCTCAACTTCACCAATTTGTGCTTAACCAAAAGTATGTCAGTAACAAGTCCATAAGTATCTTATGACTTAATCCTATATTATTTAAATACCATTTTAAAATTTAGTAATTTTAATAGTTTAACAGTCACTTTGATTTATTTTATTGGTTATATATTATTTTATCGTATGGTTTTATTGATTTATTTTATTTGTTGTAAGCCATCCTGAGACGATTTTTGTAAAGGATGGCATATAAATGTTTCAAATAAATAATTCTATAACCATTTTTTAAATAAATGATCCTATATCCTGTGCAGGGACTACTACTCTCATGACTCAGCCTAACATCTAGGACTGGTTCAAGAAGACAACTAACCCTTTATTTCAGTCAACCTTCTTTCAGCTCAAGGGCAAAACTCAATTTTGGAAAAGTTCTTGGAGGCTACTTTCTGGGCAGGGCCAACAGAAAAGAGACTGGGGCCATAAATACCAGAGTATCTAAGCTAAGCTAAGCTCAGCCCTTACTGCCAATAGACAACTCAATCAACCTTTCAGCTTGAGAAAAGAACTACATGCAAGTTGGAAGATGTGTACCCTGGCCAAGGGAAGAGGACATGGCTCTGGGGACCACAAAAGGGCCACTTGGGGGTCAGGCCTCGTCCATGCCTAAGGTTCAACACACCAGCTCTGTGTAAAAGGTGGTACACTAGAAGCCCACCCAAGAGAATAAGCGCCCCTCAGAAATCCTGCACTTTGGCCTGTCTGCATGCCAATCCCAAATGTGAGCAAAGAAGCTGTTTCTTTTTTCTCTCACTCACGCAAAAACTGGTCGGACAGCATGGTTCATGTTGCCATAGGTAGCTCGACCCAGCAGTTCTCTGAAACAGTTTTCAGCCAGCACAGATGGATTCTCCTCTTTTTCTCCTCCTGATGGCGACGAAGGGGTACAGCTTCGACTGGAACAAAACAATTTGCGTTCGGGTTATCTATAGGCATACACACCTGGGGTTCCCAACCTCTCTGGGTGGCTGTTCACATTTGGAATTTTGAGTCTTAGGAGTGCTCTCACAAAATATCTGCCAATGGCCCATGGTGAACAAGAGCATCATTTGCCAGGAGGCAAACTAAACGAGAAACTAAAAGAAAAAGGGCACAATTCTATACATAATTAGACGACAAAGCTTGCTTGCTTGGGAGTGCAGGGAGCTGAAGGCCTATAGTGTGGAAGCACAGCCATCGGTGACCCCCTGTGCAGTATCTTCTGGTTCAGAGTGTTCTAGGAGGGATGGAGGACTCCATCCTTTTCCATCTCTCCCAGTTTCTCATTTTTCTAATCATGGGTGGTTAATCCCCAACAAACTGGCCATTCAGATTGTCAGAGGAGGCCTTCCTGGTCATTCCAAAATTAAAGGAATGCTGCCACATAATAGCTTGGTGGCCAGTCTTGCCACCCTTTGGAAACCCATCCCCCCTTAGGCAGTTTGGAAGTGGAAAACATGGCATGTCTCAACCATTTCCTGGAAGCCAGACTTTCTCTGGCTTATAATTAAGTAACTTATCCCAGCTCATGTATTGCTCTGCATGTTTGCAATGAAGCTGTTTTTCATATTGTTGCATAATTCTATTTTGCATGTGATTTTCATGTTTGTGTGTGAATCACTCAATTTTGCTATATATTTTACTATATAACATATCTATTATACACACTATATATATTTTACTATATTTAAATGGTCTACAAATATCACGGATAAACTGTGACTTATATAAAGTGTTAGCATGAAATATGTGTTTCAAGCATTCACATTTTCGACACTTTTCTCCAAATGCATGCATTCTGTTATACTTTTTTCAGAATGTGCAGATTTTTCCAAGCAATTTCCCTAAGAGTATGCAAGTTTGAATTTAGAGAAACAAGTTTGTGCCCATATTTTTATATGCATAGCCTATTATCACTATGAGAAGCATTTTCCCCATCTTCCTTAAGAGAAATTGCATTCTTAGCGAAATACAATGGGGTTGCAGATACTGTTTTCTCCTACATGAAGCCATCTGTCTATCCATCTGCCTCTTCCTCCCACTCCTCAAGATGTCCCTCTCAGCACTGCCTCCATATGCAAAGAGTCATAATATCAAAAAGGAAATTTATTGCCTGCACCATATAAGGCCACCAGATCAACCACCATAATATGGTTTCCCAGCTCTGCATCATATGTGCCTCCCAAGGGCAGTCTGTGCACTATTTTGATAAGCATTAGTCTTTTGGATAGCACATTTTTCTCCTCCAAACATTTCAGAGTGCTTGTGTTCCCATCTAACACTCATGTGCATTTTTATCAGGGCTGTCACTCAGTTAAGTGGACTGAATTTTAGGGCCCAACCTTATTGTGTTGATAATAGTTTTGGTAAAAGGAAAAGAGAAGACAGGAAGAATCACATCGTGGCTGTGATGAAATTTCAGCACCAGAAAACTGACATCCGGAGAAAGGGTTACGATGGTTTGTTCTATGGTTTCTCTGTACCACTATGGCTTGTCATGTGGTTTCCACAGAGTCCTCTGGAAAGAGTGGCAACTGCAAGGGCCACTCCAGCCATCTGGCCTCTATGTGTGGACCAAGGCAGGGAGCTATGCATCTTGAGACTGAATTTTAGGCACAGCAGTTGATGGCATGCATTCCAACCATGTAGGACTGAGCAGGGAAACCAGGATTGTCTGTCAGGTAAACTACCATAAACCACAGGAATCACACAGGGCTGCTTGCATGTTGCATGAACTCAGTGTTTGCTTGTTTATAGTTGGCATAATAAAGGTAATGGACCCGACAGCTACAAAGACAGCCAGGAGCTGGGCACATGACAGCTGGCTTATGTGGTACGCTTGATGGTGGTGAAAGCAATGGTAACAGGAAAAGTAAGTACTTCCTGTCCGAACACATATTAAGTGTGGCTGTGGAGGCAGGGAGAGTTGCCCCTGTGTACCTGTCCACATCGTCAATCTTGTGCATATTAAACAGCAGGGAGGGAACAATCTTGTCCATATGCTGAGGTTCCCATATGGTTGCTTGCAGCTCATCATTAACTGTCTTGCGGACCACCCCCTGGATTCCCCGAATTCCAGCAATCCGAATCCTAGAGGACGGCAATAAGACAGTTTTGACGAAAATGGACTTCTATCAAGGTGATTTAGAAATCCAGCAGGTATTATCCATTTAGCTATCAGCCAGTCTTAAATAGACTACTTTCCAGAAACGTATCAAAGCAGTCGACACAAGATACAAGGACATAAAAATAACTATTGCTATAACAATAAAAGCCACACAATACAGATCAGTCAGAATAAAGCCATAGTTCTACTGTGCGCTCCAAAGCATAGCTAGCTGGATCACCCTTTAGGGAAAGCCCATGTAAACAGATAAATCTGAAGATGCCCGACTGTCAGAGCTACGGATGCCCATCAAATGTCAAGCGGCTGAGTCTCCCATGGGTGTGCACATGCGTGCACGTGTGTGTGCAGTCATTCCCACATGGTTCACATAACCAATGTGCAGAAGCACTGCAAAATAGTGATCTTGATGAGTGTGGATATAGTTCCATCCAGCTTCTTCCTGTTTGGTGCTTCATCCACAAGCAGGGAGGTCTTGAACTCACGTCTTCCTTAAAGAGATAAGCAAACTTCCATCGTTCCATCCCATTATTTCTTGCAGGTTTTTCTGGAACTCTGGCTTAACTAATAGGTCTTGCCTAAGACAAAGCACTCTTGTGCGCACTTGTCTGTAGTAGCTCCATTCTGGGCATGCTTTTCTCTATTATACACATTCTTTTGCAGTGAGTCCTCTGAATGCAGAGTTTGGAAGAGCTCCATTATTAATGCTGAACTGTGTCTCACTTCATGCACAGGGGCCCTATTATTTTTTATAATAGTTGGCCTGAGTAGTACATTGGTGGTGCAGGTTATGACATAAACTTTTATTAACACAAACTCCGGGGTGTTGTATTGGATGGGCTCTCCTGGAAGAAAGCCAAGGAAGTTATTAAAGTCCAACAGGTAAGTGTAGCAAACCTTCCCAGGGCCCATAAGTCAGGGCAGTTTCTTCAAGGTGTGCCAAGGTTCTCAGCTGGTTGCAGAGCACACCAGACATAATTGCCTTGAAACTAGTTTCTACAACCATTCTGGAAAAGGTCTGCTTTGGCTGTGAGAACAAAACTGTTTGCCCTACTGAAGCAGCTTTGCTCCCTCTCCCATTTCCTCAAAAGGGGGAGGTTACAAGCTCTGTGGAGATGGGGAGCAATGAACCTCACAGAATCCATGGCAAGAGGAGTTGTCTTATTTGTGGCTTGAGGAGAGGAACGGATGCTTGACTTGTCCAGGTGATTTTGTAGGCCTGTGGAACATCCCCTGGCCTTTTACAGGAACCAGAGAAGGCAAGTGGAAGCTTTCTTTTGCTTCTTTATATTCGGTATTTGCAATTCATCATTGTATACTACAAACTGCATATCATATATGATGGAAGCAGTTTTGTTTCATCTTGAATATCCTAAAATCTGGGCATGAAGTGCTTTGGCTCGACCAGCTCCTGAAATTAATATAGGAGCTCTCTTCCAACCAGTATTCACTAGAACTACTGAAGTACATGTGTGAACAAGCCTTCCAAAAATTGTTCTGAATTCTCTATGCAGTTTTATGCATAATGAACACGTATTTTCACCAGAGGGAGCTAAAGACCAGAGCATATATCATTCGAGTACAATTTTCTGGTTTTATCATCTGATGTTTGTGTGCAGTTACTTAATTTGATACGACTTCCATTGTGCAGTGCCACTTAAAAATGTATTATTTAAAATAATTAAAAGCACAAACAAACAAACAAGACAGAAAGCAACCCATTCCAATGCATCCAAAGCGGTCCTCTAACTGATGTGTCGCATGACGTGTCGGCTCTGGGATACGCCTATTACTGGCATTCTGTATACTTGTGAGAGCTGAGAATTTAAACAGTGGTTTAATTTAAAAAGGTAAAACATAGGTAATTGTTTTTATTGCATTTGTGAACTTTCTCAGAGACAAGTCAGCTCTGCAGCCTGAAATATTTTATAGCTGCAGTATCATTAATGGCGTCTGCTCTCTGAAGCTACGCTCAAAATTCTAGCTCCAGAGATTAAAAACAACATCGACACATGACCCAAACGAGTTTATTTTAGGAAAAAGAGACTGCCATAAGATGAATGGTTATGAATAGAAACAGAGAGATGATTTGCCCAGAAACAAATTGGGCAAGGAGGCGTGGGCCTCTCCTTCACAGCCCATGAAGGCGAGGGAGGGGGAGAAGCATCTCAGCTCTGTCAGAGCTTTCCAGAAGATTCCATGCTGCAGTCCAAGCCAAATGAGACCACAAGCAGAACTTCTGCTGAATGCAAGATGGCTACTTTGATTATTTGCTCTAAGAATCCAAGTGGGTGTGTTACACCTTTAGCAAAAGGCCTCTTTTCATCCACTTGTTAGGAACTCCCCCCACAAGGTAGAAAAGTATTTAAATATTCTATTTATTCAAAGGAAAGCAAAACAGGGAGATGCTTGAGGGAGATGTGGGGAAGCAATATAGATATATATTAACAGGAGAAACCCCCCTCTTTTTTATAACATCTAAGCCCCAGTATTTTCATGCAACAGATTGAAATGGCCAAATAACCTGACAGCACCATTTCAAGCAATAGGTACAGGCCCCAGTTTTGAAGACCAGTCTGCATGAAAACAAGCCATGTGCAGGGATGCTGTTATGTACTGAAAAGATGCAAAGCCCAGATCCACAGAACAATAACGAAAAAGCGAAAATCTGCATGTGTTAATTTATATATGTTCTAAAGTCTGTGCATTTCTTTGAAGGACTCTCTCTCTGTCTCGTAAAATCACCCCTCTTTATAAAAAGGGGGCAAAAGTGGATTTGATTTTGGAAAAATATCTCAAGTGGAAAGATTCAAGGTGTGGGCAGCAGCAGGAGAAAGTCATGTGTGTACAGAACCAGTTAGACCAGGAGCATGAGATGCCATCAAGGTTCTTAGGGCTTCTGTAACTTTATTTCCGCAAGTACCCCAGGGTGCAGGGTGGTTGTAAAGTTGCCCACCTAATGGTCCAGAGATTCCAGTGAAAGGTTTGGGGCTTTGGCCCTGGTGGGCTGCCTTCTAGCATGACCTCAGATCACATGTGCGAAAATTGCACAGTGGAGAGAGTGGTTTTTACCCATCTCATTCTGGCTGCACTGCTAACTTTCTATTTGCAGGGTGCTTTCCATACAGGGGAACATTCATAAAGCATATTCCCTACCTGCAGTCTGAGGTAACACTGGCCTGCCTCATAATGCTGCCACCAGCACCTGCTGTGTGCCTAGATACCCAGGTATCCAACCTGCTCTCACGTCAAAGCATCCCGTGTCCCCCAAGATGCCATAGGGATCAAAGCAGTGAAGCAGGATTGGGGGATGTTAAGACGACTGTGACATCAAGACAGGAGCTGTTAGAAGTTGGAGCAGTTGAGGAAAGAACCAGTGGCTCCCCTTATGGTAGCAACTTCACTTTCAGAAGAATGTCTCCTTTGGTCCTGATTTTAAGGGAATTCAAGGATAACTTGGGGCCATGTGAATCAGTCCCACTGGTGTGGATGCTTGCGACTCATTTCCCATGGGGCAGCTGTCGTGAGTCTGGCTGGACACAAGCAGAGGCCTCCAAGTTCAAAAAAACCTTCAATGTGACTTCACTTTGGCCTCTGCTCGATGAAGATGCGAGTCGCTAGACTGCTGTTTGACATGGACACAACACCAACACACGAATACACTTCTGACGAATCTTGCCAAGGGCAAGTAAGCAAGAAAGATGGTGCTTACAGCCCTCGATATTTAGAACCTCTGCGTGGGCAAGTGGACTGCAATTCTTGGATGCAAGGAAACCAAAATGCCAGAACGGGGCCTGCAGAGCAGAATTTATTTATTTGTTTATTTATTTAAAACATCTCCATGCCACCCCCATCGCAACAAAGCCTCGGGGCGGCTCACAAAGGATACATAAAAAAAGAATACGAAGGAAATGTAGCAGCAGGTTACTTACTCAGTTTGCACTTTGGGATCTTCATGGTAAGAATGACACATGGCACTGAACTGGGAGACAAAGAAGTCGTAGCGCCTGTGGTAGGAAGGCGTGTCTTCTTCAATGTTCGCAAATTTAACGAACTATGGAAATGGTGAGGGGGAAATAGGAGGTTGGTGCATTGTCTGCTATCATATCGAAGAAGACAACAATATTCCATCTAGCTTCCTGGCTTTGTACAGACTTGACTTCGCCATCCACCACTGACAGCCAATGCAGCATTCATTACTTAGACAGCTGGACCTAAGCGTTTACTAGGTTAACTTATCCAAATGCCTTTCCCAGCTTAACCAGGGTCCAGATGCAGTCCTGGAGAGGTTTTCAGGGGCCACATCTCAGTGGTGGCTGGAGCAGCAGTCAGTGGGGGCGGGAGCAGAAGCACAACCCCCATTGATTCCTTCTGACTCATAGCTCTAACTGCAAACAACAAGGCCTTAGAATGTGGGAGAAGGGATCTAAGCCACCAAACAGGCAGTGGGGAAGGGATAGGGTTAAGAGAAAGGGATGTGATATTCTGGGGAACCGGCTTGGGACCCCAGGGTTGAGCCTGGCCACTCTAGTGCATTGTAGATAAGAACAATAAACAAGGCAGTGAGCCTGTAGCCCTCCAGGCTGCTTGGTCTTTCACATCCCAGTGATCAATTCAGGCTTTCCGTAAGTCCTAGACAAGAAAGAGATTATCTCCTCAAAGGTTCTGCCATTCCCCCATTATGTCAGAAATATCAAATTTGCTACTTTTATATCTAGCTAATCTACTTTCTGCAGTAGTTGGATTCACATTAAAAAAGAGGTGCAGACAACTTGAAACCTATTCTACTTAAGCAGAGAGGAGTTAAAATTATGTTAAAATAATGTATGCTATTTCAGAACAGCTATTCTTGAATTTTGTTTCTCAGCAATCTTTATGGCTTTAGAACTACTCCTGTTGCTATGGGAAAGATTTATATAAATATGGCAAATTAAACTACCGTATCATTGAAGAAGAACTATGAAGAGCACAAAGTAAACTTAAAATACATTAATTCTACTGGATAGCTAGACGCCAAGCCAGTGTGTTATCTTCTTTGTGCACATGTATGGATATTATACCCACCATATCTGCAAAGTAATCTTTCCCTTCGTCTTGCCAGTCACTGAATTTAAGGACACTGTCCACTTTTGTGAGTCAGGTTTGTACAGCAAAGGAAAGTGCAAAGGCATTTTTCAGTGGCTGCCCTATCACTGCAGAACCCCTTCATTTATTTATTTATTTATTTATTTATTTATTAATTAAAACATTTCTTCCACTGGAAGTTTGTCAACGGCTGACACGTGGCCCAGTCTGCACACTCAAAACAAGCCACCATCTTTAGAAAATGCCGGGCAGCCTTTCTCTAATTACCTGCCTGAGCTTGGCTTTTAGTGCTGTCCAAATCCAGGCAGTATGGCTTGTTTGTGGGGAAAACAGGCCATGGTTATTTGAAGATTGCCTTCCCCTCAAACAAGCCACGCTGCCTGAGTTTGGACACCAACAAGCCATGGTTAGCCAAACAGCATCTGGCACAGACCAGCATGTGTTGGGGAACAAAACACGCTACCCTGGTTCATTTAAGCCTCAGTGGCTCGTTCAGTTGGCAAACTGGCTATTTATCTACACGATTAACAATCTGGTTTAACTTATCATGGTGGGCATGTCGTGAGCAGAGCCGGCTGGAGCCGGGGGTCAGACTAGATGGCCTGGGAGACCCCTTCTGACTCGCTCTATGTTTCTATGTTATCATGCCTTCTCCTCAGGAACAAGGGTGGTATTTCTAAAGACTTCTTATGGACTTCAATCTGCCAGAAGAATGCAACTAGGTTGCCTTCCGGGTGATTGGGACTACAGTTCTCATAAGCCTCAGCCACCTTTGCTGGACAGGAGGAACACAAATACCATTGTAGTCCAAAGCATCTGGAAGACGGTAGTTCTTTACTGCCACTTTATGCTTTCATAACACTACAATGTACAGCATTTGGCAGAAGTCATGAGAGTAAAACTAGCTTATACCTCAGGTTTGTAGGGCAAAAATATTCCAGCTCTGAATGCTTCGCAGAATTATGTGTCATGCTATATATACACAAAATGAGTCCTTGCTAGGCCTCATTGACTGACACCATGCTCAGACATTTAATGTGCTTATCTACTTTACCATTGCAAAAAGATTCTTAACAGTTAAATAACTGAATGAATGAATTCAAAGCAACCCTGTTTTTTTCCTAAACAACAATCTGAGATAAATGCCACAACAGCTTTTGTGAAGTTGAGGCCTTTGGTTTTCTTCAGCTGAAGAAAAAACTCTCAGTTGCCTTAAACTGGGTTTACTCACAGAGTTGGTTCCCAGGACTTGCAGCTTCGGCTCCCCAGACTCCAGCAGCTTCGCCACCATATGAAGGAAACTCTCCACAAACGGTTTAATGCTCTGAGAACGGCAAGCCATCAAAAGCTGGTCTAGTGCTTCCATGGCAATTAGAACGTATCTGTGGGAAGAGATGTGCCAAGAGCCATACAAGTCATAGAAGGAGTGAGAAATGAGCATGTTATATCACCAAGCAGATCCTATTGCAACCTTAGTGATGTTGCGCAGTTTCACAAGGTCCTCTTTGGAATACCAATTTGTTGCGCTTATCAACCTTACCAGTATTCTGAAACTGCTCACTGCTTCTTACCCATCTCATAGCAACAGCAAGAAGAGGATTACTTTCCTTCTTCCCCCTTGCCTGGTCCAGGAAACCCTGGCACAGCCAAGCTAGCAAGTACCACCATGTTCAGAAACTAGCCCAGTTCCTGAAAAAGGCCTGTCAGCATCCACATGGTAGATTTTGTAGGACTTCCTTTCCTTAAAAACAATGCATAGGATCAGACTCAGTGCCATATCATAACAGCAAGCACAGGGGGTATACAAGGCATGATATCCGCAAGTACATTGCTTAAAAAACAAAACAAAGACATCAGAAGAAATGAATAAGTACATTGAATGGTATTCAGTGGTGTCATTGTGTTGGTGGAAACAATTCTGCTGGTGGAAACAGAAGGGGGATCATTCTCCCTTCCACGTGTCCTCAGATCTGTACTGGAGAGTTGGGAGAGGCAGGCAACAAGGATTGCTTCCTCTCTTGCCAACAGTTGAAGTCAGGCTATCCAAGTGCCTGGCTGTTCTCTCAGCTCCACAGCAACTGTGGCCGGAAGAAGGAAATAAAGCCAGTCGCACCCTCTTTTCCACTGAAAAAGAACTGGGCTTGTTTCAGACCCACCTGAAAAGAAATGGGATGGAACTTCATCCCTCTAATCCCACTGTGGTTGGGACTTCATATCCATCAGGAGCAGGCAGTGACAATACCGCACCCGTTCTCGCTGTTGGTCCCAGTACCCCACTCTCTTTTTCCCCAAAATGAAAGTTTTTCCTGGAAGTTCAGATCGTTTGAAAGCAGAGAGAGGCCTTCTAGCTGCCCCTTTCTCTTCTATCATGAATGTCTCCAGGCCCAAAGATGGGGCTCAGTCAGAGACATTCTTGGGAAATGGCAGATGGTTATAGGCCAAAGTGTTCATCTGTAGCATGCCCATTTTGAGATGATGCCCAGAGCAGCTCTCGAACTATCAAAAATATTCATGAGCTAATCAAGTTTGCCTACCCTTGGTGTATGGTAACTCTGTTCTTTTAAGGAGATTCACAGAAAATGGACTGTAATTATTACAAGGTCTACCGTACTGATTCCAACTTCTTTGTAGCAGTTAGTTATGCTCTTATAAAGTTGGTGAATGAACTGCAAGTTAAAATGAGTCTAGCTTAACCTAGTTGATTCCTTGACTAGTTTCCACTGATTTTCACCTGCTGCTTAACCAAAGTCACAAACAGCTGTTATACCAAACACATATCGGATTGGAACCCATAGGCTGTCTTAAGAAAATGAAAGCAACCTTGAAAAAAGTTAGCAAGATCATTATCTTAATTGCCAAGTATGAAATTTCCTTACCCATAATGGTGTCTGGCAACATCTCTGCTCAGTCGCTCTGCTAAATAAGCACCAATTCGATCAAGCTTTTCAGGTGCAGAAACCGCATAGAAAGTCAGCTTCTCCATGTCAGCTTTAACGAGCCCATCCTAATAATTCAAAGAATTACTAGTCCCTTCCCCATGCATCGTCACCACTCTAATGATTTACACCTCTATTACTATGGCTAGATGTTTATTTGGCTCCAGCAGCCTAGAAAATGCCAATGGATGTGTGTCTACAAAGCATCTGTCGGGCTGAGTGGGGTGAGGGAACAGGACTGCTACCCTCCCAGCACCTACGGGTCATTCTGTGGTGCAAAAAGAGCTCTTGCATTTACAACTTGATGCGCGCAGGACTTCTCACACAGCAGGGAAGCATGAATGATCACCCAGGGAGGATCAGGCAGTGAAGTCATGCATGCAGGGCCTGTTTTCCAGAAAGGCAACAGGGCACAATTCTGGGGTGGCCAGGGGTCCTCTTACAGAGGGCAGTCCTCTATTTGAAGGGCTGCCAGAGGTGTGCTCTTTAATGGAAGGGATTCTCTCTTTGAAGGGTGGTGCTGTCCAATTCCACTTTAAGGTGATGCTGCCCTTTCACAGTTACCCCTGGGAAGCAAGCCAGACAGGCTGACCTGCCAGTCATGAGACAATAGGCTTGCACAGTACGGTGAAAGGCATGCCATTTCTATTGAAGTTACAGTAATTAATTCTAAGTTTGCCTCTGTTCCTAGAAAACAGCACATGCAGATGCTATGCAAAGCACTGTCTTGCTTTGTCCTCTCTTTGTGGGGATGCAGCTCTACCTTTTTGGCCATCTGTCAATGCACACCCCAACCGCAACCTGCTCCCACCCTCATCTTCAACTTCTGGGGTGGGTTTTCATGCCATGCCACCAAGGACATTTGCGGTGCCATTCAGACCCAGCCCAGGCTACCCCCAATTGCTTTTCTTTTTCAGGAACAGCCACGGCTTGATGTGGCAGGTTTAGTTTAGTTTTTACTCAAGGTAGTAAAAAACTTTACCATGAGTAAAGTCCTTTGGTCAGCCAGCTTTCTCCAGCCCCATTTCGACAGATGCTGGTGGCCCCTTCCGTTTCATCTGGAGAGTGGGCTGAACAAGAAGGCATAGGAGCAAGGGATGTGAACTCATACTGAGTCAGAGCCTTGGTCCATCCAGCCACGTGTTGCTGACACTAACTGGCAGCCACTCTCCAGGGTCTCGGGCAGGCATTTTTCCAGCTCCACCTGGATATGTCAGGGAATGAACCAGGAGCCTCCTGCATGCACAGCACATGCTGTGCGACTGAACTGGGTCACTGGCTCACTGGGTCACAGTCCACCCCCTCTCTGTGAGCCCCTCCTCCTCATGCAAAGCAAATACCCTGCTATGGAGCCAGGGACCAAAGACCTAACAATGCTTGCAGAGTTCCTCATATGGACACATAAATAGATCTTTGGTCTGCATTTGTTGGAATTTATGCATAATTAATATATTGTAACCTACATGCGTGAATGCAGATAATGGATTTCTTTTGTTGAAACTTATAATAAAGATGTTATAAAATAAAACACGATTATGAGCTACATTACACAATTGTATAGTAATTATTTCTGAATTATTCTGTACGTATCTGTCAAACCATACCCACAATATGGTCTGAAGGCACAGAACATATCCACCAGCTTGAAGCTAAGCAAGTCTGGCCTGGCCTGAGGTTGGAGGGGAGACCACCTGGGAACTGCATGGAGCCACCTTGAGTTCCACAATGAGGGAAAGGTGGGGTATGAATAGAATAAATAAACCATATGAATGTATGCCCTCTTTTGTCCCCATTGGTAACACATATCCTCTTTACAGAGATGTGAAAGAGGTTATTCTACTGAAGCTGTTGTACTCCTCTGTCACCCAGAATGACAAGTCTGTTGATTGAGGCAGGTTTCCTCAACCTCCCAAATGCACATCATGTAGAGGGAAGCTTAGGGGGATCCAGCAGGATTAGAGGGCTTGACCCTCTCTTCCCTGTTCTCCCCAGTGAGGATTTGCTAGAATGCCATTGTCAGAATGACCTCTTCTGCTTATCTGTGAAGCCAAAGCTTCTAAGTAGCGACTTATGTCAAGACCTTTATTAAGTCTTGCTTCAAGTTACGCAGCAGATCAAGTTACAAACAAGGGGTGCAAGTGAGCCAAACTGTGTTAGCACCTCGAAGAGCCAAATTCTGTGTCTAAGCAACCAATACAGCCCAAACGACTGGAAAATTGTAGCAGTCCTGTTCAGGATACCCATGCTGTGCTTCAACTTTGGAAGACTCTCGGGCAGGCAATGGCTTGGACCAACCCCATCTTCTGCTGCCCCTCCCTCCTCATTTGATACCTTCTCGTAACTCTGGGATTGCTAACCCCTTCTTTTCACTCTGGATTGGCATCCCCACAGTTACAGAGGACCTCACAAGCCCATTAAGACATTTCCACCTAACCTGCGCCGCAGTGGCTCTCCTCCTTGTTTGGGTCACAATCAAATCCCATCTCTTCTAGACACATCTCTCCAGAGGGGCTAAAGTAATACTCAGTGTAGTGGCTGAAGTATTCTACTAGGACTGAGGAAACCCAAGCTTGTATCCATCCCCTAGTTATTTATGAAACTCATGGATGACCTTGGACTAGTTGCTATCCCTCAGCCCAAAAAGGGAAGAAGGGCAAGAAATAAGTAAATACTTTGCAAAGGATTTTTTAAAGAATAGTACATGCATCCATTTAGTAGAGTATTCAACACTCTTGCATACAGATTTCAAGTCAAATAACATATATTCAAAACAAAACAAAATCTGAATTCCCTCAGGGCAAAATTAAGTTGGCAAAGACAGGGTATGTGAAGTATCTCTAATGCAAACCTACTTCAGACATTAAAGAAAGGAAAGGAAAGGAAAGGAAAGGAAAGGGAAAAGAGAAAAAGAGGAGTCATTAGAAAGATGGGGAGTGTAGGTTAATGAGAATTACAATATCCCACTGGGCTAAACTTACATGTACGAGGTGTTGTTTATCCTTGAGTAGTTTAAAACTATACTGTGCATTTAATGTCACAAGATTAATAATAAAAAGCACTGGTAAACTCTGGATAGATGGACCCTATTTGAAATTGGTGCAGATTTTGGCTTCAGGAAGTTTCAAACAGGGAGAGCTGCTTTGATGGATTTAAAAGGACGAAACACACACACACACACACACACACACACACACACGAGTAGTAGGTTGGTCTACCTGTGCTTCTTACCACAGTAAACAAATGCAATTTCCTCTATATTCAAAGGAAAGTGGTATTGTGCATGACTCTCTCAGGAAAACTCAAGGCGTCCAACCCACCATAAATCCTGAGTTTTGGTTGGCGTTAACAGCTATTGAGTCTTTGGGTACTGTAACTCCTTGTGCACACCATGGTTTTGTATGAAGGACCAGCCTGCATTATAATGGATGTACTGGATGGGCTGAATATACAGTAGAGGTGACAAATAGATTTAAGGAATAAGATTTGATAGACAGAGTGCCTGAAGAACTATGGACGGAGGTTCACAGCATTGTACAAGAGGCAGCAACTAAAACCATCCCAAAGAAAAAGAAATGCAAGAAAGCAAAATGGCTGTCTGAGGAAGCTTTACAAATAGCTGAGGAAAGAAGGGAAGTGAAAGGCAAGGGAGAAAGAGAAAGATACACCCAATTGAATGCAGAATTCCAGAGAATAGCTGGAAGAGATAAGAATGCCTTCTTAAATGAATAGGTGGCAAGATTACACAGAAGAACTATACAAGAAAGAGCTTAATGTCCCTGATACCCATGATGGGGTGGTCACTGACCTTGAGCCAGACATCCTGGAATATTAAGTCAAATGGGCCTTAGGAATTCTGAGCAACAACAAAGCTAGTGGAGGTGACAGCATTCCTGCTGAGCTATTCAAAAGCCTAAAAGATGATGCAGCAAAAGTGCTACACTCAATATGCTCAAAATCCTACAAACTAGGCTCCAGCAGTATGTGGACCGAGAACTACCAGAAGTACAGGCAGGGTTTCGAAGAGGGAAAGGAACTAGAGATCAAATTGCCAACATACGCTGGATCATGGAGAAAGGGAGTTCCAGAAAAACATCTACTTCTGCTTCATTGACTATGCTAAAGCCTTTGATTGTGTAGATCACAACAAATTGTGGCAAGTTCTTAAAGAGATGGGAGTACCAGACCATCTTATTTGTCTCTTGAGAAACCTATATGCGGGTCAAGAAGCAACAGTGAGAACTGGACACAGAACCACTGATTTGTTCAAAATTGAGAAAGGAGTTCGGCAAGGCTGTATACTGTCACCCTGCCTATTTAACCTATATGCAGTTCACATCATGAGAAAGGCGGGGCTAGATGAATCACAAATTGGAATTGAGATTGCCGGGAGAAATATCAACAACCTCAGATATGAAAATGATACCACTCTAATGGCAGAAAGTGAAGAGGAACTGAAGAGCATCTTGATGTGGGTGAAGGAGGAGAGCACAAAAGTTGGCTTGAAATTCAACATTAAGAAAACTAAGATCATGGCATCCGGTCCTCTCACTTCCTGGCAAATAGACGGGGAAGAAATGGAGGTAGTGACAGATTTTATTTTCCTGGACTCCAAGATCACTGCAGATGGGGACTGCAGCCAAGAAATTAAAAGACGCTTGCTCCTGGGGAGGAAAGCTATGGCAAATCTAAACAGCATACTAAAAAGCACAGACATCACCCTGCCAACAAAAGTGCGTATAGTCAAGGCTATGGTTTTGTCAGTTTCTCAGTTGTGGTGCTGGAGGAGTCTCCTGCGAGTCCCTTGGACCGCAAGGCAATCAAACTAGTCAGTCCTAGAGGAGATCAACCCTGACTGCTCTTTAGAAGGCCAGATCCTGAAGATGAAACTCAAGTACTTTGGCCACCTAATGAGAAGGAAGGACTCCCTGGAGAAGAGTCTGATGCTGGACACAATAGATGGCAAAAGAAGAAGGGGACGGCAGAGGATGCGGTGGCCAGATGGAGTCACTGAAGCAGTCAGCGTGAGCTTGTGTGGACCCCGGGGGGGGGGGAGGTGATGGAGGACAGCGAGGCCTTGAGGAGTGTTGTCCATGGGGTCGCGATGGGTCGGACACGACTTCGCAACCAACAACAACTGGATGGGCTCTTCCAGAAGAATGACAATGATATTATTAAGGTTCAACTAGTGAAGGTTCCCAGTGTCCAAGAGCCATGCCAAGATCTTATGGACTTCAGGTGCTTAAGAAGCATGGCGGAGATCATTGCCTTGGAGTTGCCTTGTTAATCCTTCTGTAGATAAGGGCTTTACCCAAGCAACACCATTCTCTCTTCTCCTGTCTCTCGTGAGACCAAGGTTAGGGTTGGCGAATACAAGAGCGGTACTGTATAAAATCCATGGCAAGAGATGTTGCCTTGTGCTCTCGGCCTGGAAAGAAGGAGTGATGTGCTACTTGCCAGGAAAATTCAGAGGCTCATGCAGCATCCCTGGTCTATTCAGAGGAAATGGCCACAGAGAAGGGGTGTGTACTCCTTCTTTCACCTGTTTATATCCTGCAACCATATTTCATCACTGTATTCAATAAACTGCATACCACCTTTGACACACTTGTTTTGCTTCTTCCTAAGGATCCTCACATCCAAAAAGAGGTGCCTTGGCTAAACCAAGCCCCAGGAGCTAAAGCCTTAGGAGATGTACGACTGGTCTTTTCCTTTCCATTTTTAGCATTAGCACTGTAGGTATGAGAGTGATCTCTCCAATTTAAGGCACCTCCTTCTACTGGTTACCCCATAAAATAAATGGCGGCTTGGGGATACTTGTAATGTAGCCTGGGAAACTTCCACACCACCACACAAAGCAACATTCAGGGGTAAAACAGGGTGCTGTGGATCCGGATTTTTGCTGGATCGGTGTGCTGAACCAAGGGACCCCCCACTTCCTTCTTTCCATGGCAGACCTTCCAGCCTGCTGAAAATGCAACATCAGGAAAAGGCAACATGGCGGAAGGGCAACATCAGGAAACGCTGTTGAATGGGGGAAGCAGCTCTCCCACCTTTAGGTGGAGAATCCTTCCAGACCCAAGTCAAGGTAATCTATAACAGATAAATTATTGCCCCATCTGGCTCGAGGGCTGCGTTACTTACTTTTGAGTCTTCAGGGAAGATGTTATCCACCAGGCGTTTGTAGCGAGGACGCAGAGCAGCACAACAGCAGCAAACACCTGCAAGCGCCATTATTCAAGACATGCACACAGTGAAAAGAAAAGCACTGGGAAGAATCAGAATGCCGTCGAGTGGATTTGGCTCGGGCTAAAATGTGATGAAGTGCTATAACAATAAGATGCAAGAATTTCTGATTGCTGCAGTAAACAAAGAGTTCTTTAGGCTTGTGACCTTTTTGCTTTGCTTCTGTATATGCAAGGCCTGCAATAACAGTCTTCTGGCTGTCAGACGGTGGAGAAGAAGATAAGTTCTCTAGAGAACCAAAATAATTTAGAACATATACATCATTAAAACTTAAGTAACATTTTATGTATATGTATTTTTCTGCTGCCCAATGGGTGAAGTTTTCTGTTCAATTAACAGAAGTTCTACTTTATTACTAAGTCTTCCAAAAAAGAAAGCAACCACTGCTTATTGCCAAATGTTTGGAAAAGCAAAGTAGGAGTATTGCACTAATTAGCTGACTTAAACCCTTATTAAAAAGATGTAATAAACACGAAACAGAAGTTTTTCCTGAATACAGTGTAACCTAACTTCCACAAATGCCTTTGACACATGCAAAAACTCTGCTGCACTGATTTTTTCCCTAAATAACATCTTTAGAAATGAAATCAAAATCAGAAGTCTTGGGAGGGGCATCCTAGGAAGGGGCAGAATTTGCCCACCTCTGCCTTATATTACTCCCCAGAAAAGTGCTAGTGGTAGAAATAAAAACTAACTCTAAGAAAGGTCTTGAGATATTCTAGGAAGGTTTTCTGTGGTGATAGCCCTGGCAACACCCCCTTGGTTGGCTCATTTAAATGCTCACTCAGCCATGCAGCAGCTGCTTTCAGCTAGGAGAAGAGCTAAAGGGCATGTGATACACAGAGAGTTCACTGCAATTCCTTCCCATTCAAAGGTGGATTTCATTTTTAATGCATTGGTCAGCCTTAGCAGCAACTCTCAGCATTCCCAGCTAGCCAGGCCATCAGCTGGGAATGCTGGGAGTTGTAATCCAGCACATATGGGGGCACACCAGGCTGAGGAAGGTGAAATGAAGCAGATCATTGAAATAATTCACACTGAGAGAGGGGAAATTATCAGCACTCGCAGTTACCAAAACAACAATATTTCATAAGGCGTACATGGTGCTTCTAATTACTACTGCCAGTGCACTAAGTAAGGTTAGATCGAGATTACTTGATCAAGCAGTAGAACCTTACAGGTTGCTGCAACCTTCATCAGTTCAGGGAAAAACACACAGAGCTGAGGCATCAAAACCACACAATGATCAAACCCTTTCAGGTGAAAACTTGTTCTGCTTCATAAACCTGTAAAAATGCACAAATGTAACAGATGGAAACCTGTTTGGTTTAAACTACGGTAGCAGTTGTTTCTGTTTTTTAAAATCACTTATTTTGTTAGTAAGTGCATCATTTCACTTCGACCAAATGACTCTCTTGACTGGAAGTGCTTCATATATTTTGAAAGGAAATGCAAGGCTTTCCTTTGAAGTACGAAGGTCTTAAAAAAAAACCCTAAGGCAAGGAAGGTCATCTGACAGTTTTCAGTAAGATAAGTGGTGCAATTAGGTAATTTTAGACTCTCGACATAAAGGACTTGCACTAGAGGTGCTTTAGAAGAAGCCAGTGCCATCCAGATGCATTGCATTGGACTATAATTCCCACCATCCTCCCCGGCCAGCAAGGGCACCATGTCGGCAAGGCTGCATGAGGTGACTTTGCCTATGGCTTCACTTCCTTTCAAACATGGTGAAACAGCTTTCCTGAAATTGGGGGCCCTTCCACTTCATCTTCTGAGCAGCGCCCGAGACCAAGTCCTGCTTTGATGGCATCACCGATTCAGCAAGAGGCTGAATCTCCAGTTCTGAACTAACCAATGGCTTCACTCTGCACTCTGCTTCCTTTTGAACTCAACATCTTAACAAATGCTCTTAACAACCTTCACTGGGGAAGGGGAAGGGGAAGGGGAAGGGGAACTTACTAAGCAGTCCTGCTTAAGACACTGAAACGGCTCAATTTCGCAGCAACTTCTGCCAGGAATGGCAGGTGCCAGAACACTGAAGTCTGCGAATTACATAAGTTCCCAAAATATCTGTGCTTCCTTGCACACCTGTATCTCTCACTATTTTCGTAAATGGAATTTCAGAATGTAGTAGAAACACAGAAACAGAGCGAGTCAGAAGGGGCCTCCCGGGCCATCTAGTCTGACCCCTGGCTCCAGCCAGCAGTAGTTTGACTATGGGTGATCTTAACATAGCTTCAAGCAGAAGGAAGAAAGGTAGATACTTTAAATGACTAAGGGCATCATTCCATGTGGGATTACAGGCATCCTGTGGAGGGAGGATAGGTACAGGGAAACAGGCCACCTCTGTGCGCCTTTCTCCGAAAAGCTCTTAGGCCATTCAGTTCCACCATTTCAGTGTGGTGCTTTGGAGAAGGGGGGAAGGCTCAGGGGTATCCCCAGGGGACACCATGTCTCGGTGGTGCCAGTTTCCTCCCTTCCCCGACTCCCAGAATGCTCCCCATGGACCTTCCCTGAGGTGGTTCTTATGTCCACAGAGAAGGGGCCAGCCCAATTCTCTCCCTGCCAGCCGCAAAGTAGGGAGAGATTCTCCTACCTCGTCACTGGAACTCTGCAAAATCCTATGGCCATCTAGACTCTGTCTAATAACCGCAAGGTTGCACTCTAAGTCCGCAAAATACTATACTATTTATGTTTTTTAAAGACTTTAATATAAATATTTCATACTGGGGTGTCCAACACCTATCTTGGAAATTTCCAGGATCCCTGCCCCTCCTGGTTTTTATTGTATTTCCTTTTAATTTTTAAAGAAACAAACAAATGCCAACCACAGGGTGGGCAAGCATGCTGCAGAATGAAATGCAAACTGTCTGTCTGTCTGTCTGTCTTCTGTACTGCCCAATAGCCAAAGCTCTCTGGGCAATTTACAACAAAAGTTGAGTTCAAAAGAGTGTTTTTTCCCTTTTCAGTTTCAGACTGGACCTCTGCTTAGAGACTGGACTTAGATTCTTTGCTCCTTATCCATCATCATGATCATCTCTGCTAAAAAATGATCAAGTGTTATAAAAGTTATCAAGTTATGCAGCAATTCAAAGCAATTTGAAAACAAGAACATCAGCAGTAAAAACTTTACAAGTACAAAAGGTCTCGGACAAGTTACCTGTCTATTCCTCCAGCCCTACTGGATGCATGGAAGCCGCCAAGTTCAGGGGTGACAAGCACCGAGGGTGGGGACCAGGCACTGCACCCTTCCATCTCTGAGGCTGCAGGTCAATGGGGCATTCACAGTTTGAGCCCATCTTGGTTTTGATGCATTTTTGCAATTTAACATGAAAATGGAAGAGAGTTCTTAAAAAGATTGGCTTCCCCATCTAGTCCAGTATTTTGTTGAACCAGGAGCAATCTAGTCCAGCATTATTTAAATGATTAAATCAATAGACATAGATTTTGCCTGAATAAATTGTGTTCGTGTTGCCTTGAGTGCCTTTATTGAGGTTGTGCTAATATATAATATTATTTACTCTCAATCAATTAATCAGTTAATTGGTGAGAATCTAGGCTAGCACTCAATCAGCTAAAAAGTCTGACAGCCTGACAAAAATGCAAATATTTATACGCTGCAGGTTTATCTTTATCATTCCACAAACCAGACGTGTGTTGCATAAATCCCCTGGCACTTACCTTTCTGAACCATGACTTTGAAGACAACTGCAGATACTGGGCATGAAGCTGAACTGACAATCAGTGCCAAAACTGGTGAAAATTCTTATCTGAAAAGGCAAAAAGGGAGGAAAGGGAGGAAAAAAACAACGGGGAGAAGGATTGCATTAAATAATTAAAGGGTCAATCCTGGGCATGTTTAGACAGAAAAAAGTCCTACAGCTCCCAAGCTGGGAACTGTTGGAAGCTTGTCTCCCTAAACATGCATTAGATTGCAACCTAAATAAAGTGTACAACCCAAACTAATACAGATGATTATGTCACTATTTTGTAAATGGTGCCATCCCTTGGCAGGGTACATTGCTTGAAAAAGAGAAAACGTACCACCCAAAAGAGGACACCAATTTGCAGATAATGTGCATGTGCCAATTTATTTGTATAGATGCAAAATTAGAAAGCTTTACCACCATTGAAACCAGGAGCCTCCAGTGCAGTGCCCCCAGTTCAATGCACAAACGGGTTCCCAGTATGGTGTCTGTGAGCAGACAATTTTTTAAAAATCTTTCGTTCATATACATACATGGATTTGTATGAAGTGCACAGAACTGTCTAACAATGACACATAAGCTTCAACAGAAACAGATCAAAACATCCAAATAAATATCCATCGGAAATTGGCATATTTAAACCACCTATCAAAAGCATTCTAAGTCTTCAATCCATTGCATTGTAAGAGGCAAGTTTGTTCTTGCGATTTTGTAATATGTGTCTTTCAGCTGTCAAAAGGACATAAAGGACATTTTGCCTTCCATTTGCTAACTTCCACAAAGCAGGTAAATAATTGTGAGGGACATGTGCATGTAAGCAAGAATAAACCACGACATGGCTTTCCTTCCCACATTCCTTCTTTTTCCTAGCATCTTTCTTAAGCAACACACCAGGACTATATCTAAATGCAGTGCGCTTGGAGCTCAGCCTTGTAAAGAGAGGTAAGGATTCTGCCAGGTGCACAAACACAGGCTGTAGGGCAGCTCTTTCAGCTCACGGGCTGAATTTCATTTTGGAGGGGCTCTCGGGATGTGTGTGTGTGTTCCAGTGGAGTATAGGCGCAAAGGAAGGCTGAGCATAAAAGGATTGAGGCCTTTGAACTGTGGTGCTGGAGGAGACTCCTGCGAGTCTCTTGGACTGCAAGGCGATCAAACCGGTCAGTCCTAGAGGAGATCAACCCTGACTGCTCCTTAGAAGGCCAGATACTGAAGACGAAACTCAAGTACTTTGGCCACCTAATGAGAAGGAAGAACTCCCTGGAGAAGAGTCTAATGCTGGGAACA